GTCTGATAAGTGTGGTATATACCAGTAGTGCTATGGTAATAAATGACAGTTCTCACAATTAATGCCAGCACATGACTAGCCTCTTTCAGACTAAAATAAGTAATTCCATGATGTTGTGAGTGCAACTATGAGGAAAGAGATTCCGAAATACTAAGAACTTGAGGGGATTAGCAAAAAAATGCAAACGTTTGTCTTTCAGCTTAATAGCCTGTGTGGATGCTGTCATTCTGCCTCGGGACCCTGTGGGTTGGCATCGAGGCTGTCTCTGAGCATGTTGAGAGAAGTTGAAATATTATTAATATGGGCCACATTCCACTGATGTGCAGCTTCGAGGTGCCGAGGACGCCCTCGTTAAAAACTTGGCAGATCATCAGAAGCATCTTCCATGCTTTTGGCCTGAGGGAGGTGTTCCTTTATGAGCTGCATTAGTCAGGAAAAAAGGGGAAGGTTTCATAACAAAGCCAAAGTTCATACTCAGAAAAGAAAAAAAATTCTTTTGCCTTTTTAAACTAGCATATGGTTCTGGGGCATGTAGTTGCAGGCATGTGCAAAGCCACAGGAGTCGTAAGCAAGGTGTAAGGCTTGCTGAGAAGGGAGCTCTAGAGCTCTCTGCATGGTCTGACAAGTACTGACTCCTCTGTTGAAGACTTTGCCAGGAAGTTTTCCAGCTCAACTGGACATGTTGCTGGCAATGAGGAAAAACAGCTTACTGAACTTCAGTGAACTTGCAGAAAATATCTACATTTTTACAGTAAAAGCCTTTTCACCATGAAAATGAACAGAACATGTAGGGCTTTATAACTAATGGCAAAATCCTTAGAGCAAAATGAGGGTGTCAGATATTCAAATGTGCTCCTTAGCACCTGGCCTGCCCAGGAGGCTGCCTTGGGGGGCATCCTTTTTGGTTGGCCTCTTGCAGGCATGCATGAGGAACATGTTGAGAAGTGTTAATATAATAGATACCAGTTCCGCTTGCTCTTATATGGAGGATCTCTGTGGCTAGGTGAACACATCAGAATTGGTGTCCTATACTGTCTTACCCTACTAGTCCCTGTCCTTTAAAAGTAGGTTATATACACATGAATGTTAATTAGCTGAAAAGGAAACAGGCAAAATAACAATTTAAAAAGCTGTAGAAAAAAAAGAATTCCTGTGGCACTAAATCTTTATATCTGTTGTGCATTTACGTTGAACAAGAATGCTGGAAGCTGGTTTAAATGAGCATGCATGCTTTAAGCTCCTCTCTGCTTTGTACTAAGTGTTTTCAACTTTCACGTACAGATAGGTAAGTCCAAAGAAAATGTAATTACAGTGTACAGTTAGCTTTTCTCCTTGCCTCAAAGCTTGGAATCCGGTCATTTTTACAGTCTGTAAAAATTCATAATGTTGTTCAGGCTTGGTGAAGCAGTACTAACTGTTGTGTAGCTGAGGACCTTCATTCCCCACTCTGCTCTTCACAGGAGACAATTCCTAACCCCTGTAAAGACTCAGATGGTCCCTGAAGCAGTCACCAGGTCAGGCAGGGCTGTAGTTTGAATGTTGCTATGTTTTTTTATGCCAAAACTTCCTCATGGACGGGACAGCAGATGAACCTGCAGGTCTGCTCTGACACTGGTGATTGGTCTGCTTCGAGTAGGAGGTTGGGCTGGGTAACAATCCAGGGGTCCCTGCCACCCTGTGTTTTGTGGTAATTCATGGAGGTGATGCTGAGGTTCAGTAACATGCAAAGCCAAGCAAGCAAGCAAGATGTGGAAACATAATGAACAATTACATTAGCATTAGGCCACAAAGGCGTGTTGAGGGATGGCAGTTGGGTTCACATGCCTGTACATATGCTGGGGTTTGCCTGCTCCTGCTGAATTAAGCTAGAAGTGAAAAGATGTAATTCTCCATCTCAAGAGATATCCAGCCTGCTTGAAATATTTATAGTTGTTAAAGTTTCTCTGTTCAGAACAGGCCAAAAAGATTGGTGTGCTTTGGATGAGTGTGTCTCTATTCATATTTTGGAAAATGCCTGCATCTTAAATTACCTTCTGCAGCCTGCTATGAAGAGTGTAGTGCCAGAGAAGGGCCTTTACCATTTGTAAAATGATACATCATGCTGATTTTGTATTTGTCATCTGATTTTGAAAAAATTAGCACAAACAGAGGAGAGAATGTTTCCTACTTTAAATCTGTTCGGTTATCTGTGAACAGTTTATGAATCCAGTTGGCCTGCAGTGAATCTGGGAGCAATTCTTTGGACAAAACACTTAGCGTATTTTGTATTATTATCACTGAAAACAAGTGATCTTTTGAACTATCCACTTTGAGAGGTTGTTCACTGGCTAGATGAAAAGAAAAAAAAAACAAAATACATGCACATTGCAGGGTATTAAGAGAGGTCTGAAAACAACACTATTTGCTGTTAAATGAAAACTTTCATCAGGGTGAAGAGGAATTACTTGGAATTGATATTGAACTGTAAATTATTTCTGGAGGGCAAATACAGTGGGGAACGATCAATTCTGCCCCACAGCTTTTATTGGTAAGTCATTGCTCAACAGCTCACTTCACAGAGAAGAGAAACTAAAAAAATTACTCATAGAATCATAGCATGCTTTGAGTTGCAAGGGACCCTAAAGCCATCTAGTTCTGAACCCCCTGCCAGGGGCACGGACACCTTCCACTAGAGCAGGTTGCCCCAAGTCCAGTTCAACCTGGCCTTGAACACTACCAGGGATGGGGCATTCACAACTTCTCAGAGCAACCCATTCCGGTGCCTCACCACCCTCACAGTGACTAATTTCTTCCTTGTACCTAACCTAAATGTACTCTCTTTCAGCTTAAAACCATTTCGCCTTGGCCTGTCCCTAAATGCCCTTGTGAATTTCTTGTTGGTCTCCTTTAGGTACTGGAAGGCTCTTCTAAGGTCTCACCAGAACTTTCTCTTCTCCTTGCTGAACATGCCTGACTCTCTCAGCCTGTCTTCATAGGAGAGGTGCTCCAGTCCCTCTGATGATCTTTGTGGCTGTCCTCCAGACCTGCTCCAATGGGTCCAGAATTCTTGTTCTCTCTGATGCATTTGCAGGGGGGCTTAGTGGTTCAGCAGGTGAAGTCTGAAAAGCTTGGTCATCACTCCCATTTTCTTCCTTATGGGGCCTTCAGGTGGATATAATGCTGTACTCCCAACTATCAGCCTTCACTTCGCTAACATCCTGCACCAGAACTCCACATCCTGGGGGAAGGTAAGAACTCTCCTGCATAGGAAGCACCATGTTTGCAGCCTGCCAGAGTGCATGTGTTGGTGGCAGCAACAAGCACATCCTCAGCAGTAGTGCTGGCTGCAACCATTCTCTTTGGCAGGGGAGGAAGCCACAGCCTTGCCAAGCCTGACAGAAGGGAAGTGTCCAGCTCACAGGAGGGAGAGCAATGGTATGCTGCGGTGGCAGGAAGGTCTGCTGCAAAGAGCAGTTGTCCAGCTGTGACAGTCTCCCGCAAGAAATCTAGGGCATGTTTAAAGTTGATTTCGTTTTGCATCTGTCAGAGGTAGACTCAGGAGCCCTGCTCTGTCCCTGGGGCCTTTGTTGAGAGAGTCAAATGGATATCAGGGGTATGCTGGAGCAGAGCTAAGCCCAACAGCACACAGCTGTTTTACCATCGTAGAAAATCCAGCTTAAAAAGAGGAATTTTTCCTTGTTGATTTGTACGATTTTCTTTGGAGATGGATGGTCCTCTGGGCTCTCTGCTTTTGCACTCATCTGTTAAAAAGCCCCATTTGGGGACATCCCAGTTCTCCCAGCCAAGAAAAGCTGGATTCTGCTCCTGGCTTGCTCAGAAGTGGTTGCTCAAGAGCAAAATGAAGTATTCCTGTCAGGAATTGGAGGCACAACATCCAATGTGCTCCTGGGGTCAAAGAAATAGGTCTTAGGCTGGAAGAGAAATCCTCTGCATGGCAGTACGTTACGTCAGTACAGAAAGGGACCATCCAATTTTGCATTCCAATATGAGACACAGCAGCAGGTGATATGTTCACCAATATGCAAGTTTAATAAACTTCCTGTTCAACTTGTGGACAGAATAAATAGTTCCAAGATGTCTGCTTAACAAAGCCAAATTGTGCACCTCTCTGTATTGCAACTAAAACCACTACAGTTAAGGGACTGTCAACATTTCCCATCTGGATGGATGATTTAGCTGCTTTGCTTCATATCAGGGCTAACTTGGCATTTGACTTACCAAGTTCTGCTACAAGATGCTGTTTTACTGATTATAATGTGTTCAGTGGCTACGTCATTCTTAGGCTTGGAGAAGGAGTTTTAAGCAGCATTGGAGTAGAAGAAAAATGAATATTAAAAAATATAATTTTGCAAATCCCTGGAGAATGAAAAGAAACTTAGAGACAGATGTACACAGAGTTGGGAGAAGGCAAACATTTCCCCTCTCCTTGCTTTTATCTTTGAAAAGGTCCATGGGATTGAACTATTACTTATTAGTGTCTGGCCCCCCTGCAACTTTCTGTTCCATACTGGATGTGCAGTGTTTGTATGGAAAGCAAATTTATTTCACTGTGTAATAAGATTTGAATGCAAACATTTAATTAACTGTTCAGAAGCATTGCTTAAACAAAAGTTAACCTTTCTGTGCCAAAGTTAAATGAAGCTTTGAAACTGAAGGTTATTTTTTTTGTTTCTTTGACCAGCACCATGGATTGATGTGCTGTTGATGCAAACACTTTCTCAGGTTTCACGTGTGGAAGTCTATGATGGAAGAATAGCTTCATTAATTTGGCCCATACTGATTCAGTTGAATGCTAATATTTTGACCATATTCCCTAGGAAATATTCTTCCTGCTGCACAAACTTGGAAAATGTGGCCATCCCTCTGGTGTTAGCCACATTTATGACAAACTTTCAGAAAGATATTTCACACGTAAATACATGACTCTTGGTTTTTAACACTTTCCATATCAGAAAGAGGTAAAATGTGTAAAAAAAACTCATTGTAAAATTTGTAAAAAAACCTAATTGAAATGTGGTTTTTGAGTGATCCTTTCTGTCCCTTTTTTTAGTACCCTGAGATTTATATTTCTGTGTGCCCTGTAACCCAGGAAAGACAAGGTTGTGAGTCCTATGCACAGCTGACTTCGCCTGAGCTGATGCAGTTTTGAACCTTGAGTCTCAGCACAGAGGATAAGGATGCACATCTACAAAGGTATTTAAGCAGCCAACTCCTTTAATGCCTTTGTGTGTCTAAAGCCATGGAGTGGATCCACCAGCCTCTAGTAAGTAGGTATGTGGAGAAGCTGGACATCGGTTACGTATCAACTGACCCCCATAGTCTAACTCAGTAATCACTGAGGTAGAATCTTCCTGGTTATCTCAAGGAGGAGGAAACTGGGCTAGGAATTATGCTTTGTTAAAATACAATACAAATTCCTAACCCAGTTTTCAGTCAGGAGAGTATGTTATTGTTAAACAATTGCTACCATTTCGTGGAAGCTTATTTTCTGCGCCTTAAGGGAAATTGAATTAAGTGACCTTTTATTTTAAAACACTGCTCTTTCCTGTCACTGATGAAGCAATAACGATTACAGAACATGGGATTTTCTGGGAGTTAGTTGCTTGTTCTCATTCATATGAATTTTGCTGCCTCTATTTGAATCTTATCTATAGTACTCCCTGAGGCAGGCCACTAGAGACTGATTTCACTGGGGACTCCAGGCTGGCCACTAAGACAAGAAGAAAGGCATGTCCCATAGCTTCAGAAGTTAGTGCTAGAGCTGCAATAGACCTGATGAATAGGGCTGTGCATGATGGTAGCTGAGGTTTGGGGTATACTGTATCCATGGGCTGTTGCTGACATCCAGAGCAGCTGCTTCTTCTACATAGAGAACTGCTTCCGTTACTAACCAGCCCAGAAACCATAATGTTCACAAGTGGTGCTAGTTCACTGTCTAGTCCATGCCTTTCTACGCTCATTACAGCTCAGCAAATGCAGAGATTTGAATCTAACATGACAAGAAGTGTCAGAATTGGGGATTAATTCTCTGTGAAATAATTTCCATGATGGGATGCTGCCAGGAAGCTTGACTCTGCATTCCTTTGACACCCCAGATTCCCACAAACTGCAAGGAGAGGACTCTGTGGGCAAGGAGTGCGGCATGAGCTTGTAAACTTTTCAGCTACAGATATCTTAATACATAAGTGGGATGCTCTCAAGAGCTTGCTGTGCCAGAAAGGTGATCCTTCTAGGACTGGGACCATTTATAGAATACTGATTTTTAGTGTAGAGAACGGTTTTATAACTGATTTCTATAAATGTAAAATACCAGGCCAGTTAAGCTTGAAAGTGCTGACAGAGTCTTAATTAAATCAGCGTGAACAATATCAGGCTTGCATAACTCTGTTTCCATCAAAAGCAGCAGAAATGATGATTTTTTTTTCTTTGTCCCTTGTAAGAGATGAAGTTCTGACAGCTTGTTCCCATTTCCCAGTACTGCTGGTTCATTAATTTGTCCATAAGTCTGATCTTTCTACTCCACTCCCATTTCCCTTCGGTTCCTTGTTTTTCTTCCTTAGCGTTGACATTTTGGCTCATTCCCTACAATACTGTGTATTGGCTACAGGGAGTTCAAGTGTGCCTTTCCTGTAACCCTTCTGTCCCTCCATTTAGTGGCAGAGGGTACACTGCTGCAGTCCTTCAACAAGGGTGGATTTTGCAAAACACTGACTACCAAGAGCTTGTATTTGGTATTCAGCACTTTTTTTTTTCATTTGGAGACCAAATCCCTGGGCAAATCTGTCATTTAAGCACAGTAGAAATTCAACATTCAAGTACACTGCTAAGCCAGGGCTGCTCCAACATGCTGGCAGTCCACATGACTTCTCTGAAATGGGTGCTGATTAATTACTGGGTACGTAAGAGTTAAAGGTAATGTAATGTCTGGTCTTGCTGTCAGTCTACCCATCTGCTACCTGTCTGCCCATGCACAGAGGGGACTGCTTGCATGCCAGCCTTTGAGTCATGCAGCAAGACAAGGGCAGCCACACATGCGAAGGAGCACAAGCTAGGGCAAAGTCTGCTTTCTGCACGAATGAGGGGCAAAAATACTGGTAGTAGATCTCTTCTTTCTCTTGTTTCAATACCTGCAATTCAAGACCCACCAAAGGAGTTGTTACCTGAGGTGAAGGCAGGAAATACTCGTGCGATTTTTGCAACTTCAGCCTCTTGAACTTCTCCCCAGGGGACAATGCAGTTTGCCTGTCTCTATCTAAACAGCTTTGGCTTTATGCTTAAATGCTTCATTAAATTTCACAAAACTACTCACATCTCCAGCACTGCGGAACAGACAAGCAGGGAGAGGAGTTTAGTGCATATAACAAGCTGGAACACAACTGAAAAAGACTTAAAACCTGTGATCAACTTGGTAGCACACAGGGATCACCAAAGGTGGTCACAAAGGTTGACTTGAATTCTGTGCTGGCTTTCTCTACTGCCTTCTTAATCCTATTTACATCCTTGATGGCTTGATCAAACCTTCAGCTCTTGTGAGTGTTGTTAGTATCTTCAGGAAACATGTGGATCAAGTTCTCAGGGTCTTGAAAGTGCCACAATGTAATAAAATCTTATTTCTTAGACTTTAGATCATCATCTTGTCTGTTCTCCATTTAGTGCCATGTTGGTTTGTGTTCAGAATCAGCCCTCATGATATAGAATGCAAATAAATAGGTTTTGTGGAAGACTACTAGAAGATTGTAATCTTCTGGTCTTATCTCTCATTCCAGACATATCCTGAAATGACTTGTTCTGTCTTCTCTTTCTATTTCACAATGTAAGCATTTCACAGAGGAGGTGACATCTTTCAGTGCTTTAGCATTTCATCTCCCTATGCCTTCACATTTTTTTCCACTTTCTCATCTGGATGTTACCAACTTAATTAAACTGCACAATGACTCTAAAAATACAAACTCTGGCAAAGGCTAAGGAGGATGTTTCTTGGCATCTGGTCATTGTTTTGCCTTGGGCCCATAGCTTCGCTTGTCTCTCTCAGTACTGAACCCATGCTTGTGTTTAAGGATAACAGCTCCAAGCATGATTATATCACAGTTTCTGTGTGTGCTTTCAGGAGGGTTTAATGCTGTATATATTGTCCATTATAACCATATTTCCAGACAATAGCTGGCTGCAGAATACAGTGCAATAAAGCAGTAGCAAATCTTGTTCCTGTTCATTCCCTGTCATTATATTTAGGTTCCAATGAGTTGGTTTAAGAGCACATAGGAAAAAAAAAAAAAAACACAATGGGCTCAAAGCAATGGCTGCAAATGTAAGCAGTTTTCTTAGTCCATAAGCAAAGATGACATGGCCTCTAGCTGAGTTCTGTGATATTTTCCCATCTGAATCTGTCTGCCAAAGCAGCATAAGCTTATCTAATCATGCAGTTGACTAACCATGTTGATTTGACTGGACCAGCTTCCAGTGAAGGAGAATAAGTGCAGCAGCTATCATCTTTCTGTGTGGGATTTCAGGTAAATTTCTGCAGCTCAATGTGCCTTGCAAGTATGAGCAAGCAGAGTCTTTTGAGAGCGAAGGAAGTTTCTCATTCTTGCTGTCAGACTGTCAGACCTGTTTTCCACAAGCAATACTACAATGCTAATTACTTCTGTAGCAGAGCAATTTTTCGTGATTTACTTTTCTTCTGTAAGCATTGTTAGTAGTTGAAAGAGTCAAATTCCATTCAACATTGAGCATAAGTGACTTTGCCTCAGTTTCCTGTTTTGTTGAAGATATAGCTGATATTTAAAGAGTTGGGAAGTCATGTTCCTTGAAAGACCTTTCCTTTGAATTTCTGTGAACAAACATCTTTGATTTCTGAGTGCCATGTGCCAGCAAAATCCTGAAACCATGCTGAAGGCATGTTATTGCCACATAGATGCATGGGTCAGAACCATCTTTTGCACGACTAGAAAGTATCTAATCTTGCCTCAAATTGTACTACTGGTTCCTAGAAATACTCTTGCTACAAGATAAGCAAAATTATGTAATCATGGATGTCCACTGGGTATTCTGGATTGAATGAAATTGTCCTTGTGTACCATGGGAATAGTCATAGAATAAAAATTCAAGATAGGCTAATCATAACATAAACATTTATCAAAGTTTCCAGCTAGGACATCTGGGAAAACTATGGAGCACAATGCTAAAAAGAAAAGGTGTGTCCATCCTGACCGTGGAAGGCTCTTACATTAGAGTGGCCAGCACCCTTTTTTGAGGAGAAATGCCTTCTTTCATTTGGCCAGCATTAATTAAGGACAGGATTTCCCAGCCAGTCCACTCTTGGGCTTGAAGGTGAGCTGATGAAGCAACCTGCTGGGTGGCCGGATTTGTTCCTAGGGAAAGGCATCATAGAAATTCTTGGTGCCTGGGTAAGGATTTAGAGCGTTGTCTCCTGTTTGTCTTCATCAATGTTTAAATTAATTGTGTGGAGAACAGAGCCTTGAGTTTATATGCAATCTACAGGTATCTGGATGAGAAGATTCTCCTGCTGAAGCAGTCTTTATGCTTTGCATTAATGTAAACAGTGCGTTTAGAAATGTATTGTCTGTGGCAGATCTGACATCACAACCAAATTCTTTAAAATAAATTTTTAGGGGCAATCGTATGTCAGCTGCTTAGCACTGAAATGTATGGAATGGAATTAAGCAAACCTTTTCTTAATTAAAAAATGAAAATGGATTCTGAACTTTATCTAAGGGTCACTTTGGGATGATTTCTAGACAGAAAAAATCTTGGCTTTCTGGCAGGACAGCTGTGAGGGAGTGTTCTCTTCATTAGAACACAATTTGTCCAAGAAAATAACGTTCCAAGTCCTAATCAATTTAGATGAAAACTTGCTGGACAGAATTCAAGCAGGCCAGTTATGGAGTCTCATAAAGCCAAACCCACATGTCTCAGTGGGCAAGAGGCAAGATAATCTTAGCTCACAATGGAATGTTTAAATTTATACAGCTAAGACACTGACATAGGCACAAGGTTTGGTTCTTTTGTGTTTTGTTTTTTAACTAGAAACATGTGAAGAATTAGAAATTTTAATGAGAGGGAATGTCCCTTTAAGATGCAATCACTCATGGTGAATGGACTGTGGCCAGATTCATTCTTGCTTTAGCATCTATAGAAAGATTTTTTGGAAAGGACCAGTTTCCAAAACACTAGAAACATAGGTGTGCCTCTAAATGACGGTCCTTGGCATCACAGGCTCTTGCACAGTTTTATAATTCCCAGCTGTATAAAGATTATTTTTTAATGAACTGCTTCAGCAGTGGAAATTCAGCAGTTTGGAGAAGCTGTTGCACAGTTAGCCCTTGGGAAGGTGACACCATGCACGGCATTGTTCAGCCATTAAATATAAGCTCTTTATGATGACACATCACTACTGAGCACAGAAAACCCAGGATAACACACCCCCAACCTTCTGGTGTTAATGGTAACTATTTCAGGGTTTGCTTTTCTGTCATTCAGTTAGTTTCTCCATTATTGCAGCTAGCATTTCAGGTTGCAAAAGGGTACTTAAATAACTTTCAGATTTGCAGGTCCATGCTAGAAATTCTCGTGAGGATGAGATATAACCTGAGCAATCTTTAACCTGGCGAGTATTTCATTTCTTAACTTGAAATGGTTTTATAACTTGCAGAGTCTTAGCCAAGGTTAATCTCCACTACAGTCATGAATCAAGTATGTCTTTCGCAGTAACTGTCAATGCTTGGTAGATAGCCACAGCAATGAGTTGATGTCTGAAGTGCCAGCTTACATCTCCCTCTTTGCTAGTGAATCCTCTGCTCTCCTGCATCCATTGCTGGGAAGTTACAAACATGCCATTTCTCCCATGTCATCATTCTCTTCTTGCACGTGACGACCTCCACTGGCTCCAGGAAAAAAAAAAAAGAAACAAACAAAAACAACAATTTTTTTCTAGCTGCAACTCGCCCTTGTCTACAGGACAGTTACACACTTGTTATTTACTCACCAGCCCTCTCTGTCCGGGGACCAAGACCTGAGTCAGGAGCTGTCTTTTTCTCATCATGACTCCTGTGATTTCTAGGGGTAGTGAAACATCCCCTCTGCTGGACCTCCTCCTTCTCTCAAAAAGCACCATCCGCAACACCACTCATGCACCTGCGTCCACCTCTTGACTCAAAGGGCAATCTACCCACATGACTGGGGCTGGATGTGAAAGAAAAGGATCATACAGTATTGTTAAGCAACTTGTGGTTAAAGTCAAAAACTCTGGAGACTCCCTGACTACTGTAAAACGCCAACAGTTCGTTGTCCCACAGCCTCTTCCTTCCTTCACACCCCACTCCGCCAAGTTGGCCACCTGAGACTCTGCTCATTGCTCTTGTTTTCCCTGGCTCTTTTCACTTGTTTACTTAAAAATCTCTTTCCCTCCCCTTCTCTTCATTTGAATTTCTTGCAGGAGGGTCCTATAAGGACACCTACTTTAATCAGAATTTCCTGTGAGTTAATAGGCAGCTTTTTTGGCTTGGTTTGGTTTGGTTTTGAATGTTTTGAAATAAAAATACAATAATTTCTTAAATGCTGCTTTCCAAAACTCCGCTTTAAACCAAACACTTTTCTTACAGAAAGTAACGGTTTTAAAGACTCAGTTTAAAAGACAAACTCTGTACCGAGAAAGAGAAGGAATACTTTGAATGCAGCAGGACAGCCTGTCACCCAAGAGAAAACGGTCGACACGCTGCTGAAGCTGACTGCATATTTTCATTTTCAAAAAGCACTCAAGACTAAAACCACCTGTGAGTGAGTCTAGCCTCTCCAGCTGATTTAGTAGGACCTAGAGCAGAGTGTCCTGTCAAAAGGCACGCTTATTTTCACAGGGCAAATGAATCAGTTTTTATGCGGCAGGGCTACAGCTCGTTGGGATGAAATCGTTAAAACTTTGTAAAACAAACTGTGAGAGGTGCAATATTTCATTATTCAAACTGGGAGAATAGACAGGCATCCTATGGAAAAGTGAGTCATAATCTCTGTGGTACATTCTGTTCATTCTTTTATAACAAACATGAGTGTTTGTTTGCTAAGTCCATTAGCATCCAGCTATAAACTTGATTAGGAGGACAAGTTCCTCAGCCTGCCGCTGGGTTAGCATGTGTATTGCCGTTTGGTCGCTCTGTTGTATAACAGCACCAGTCATGTCAGACTGCCGTTCCAAAAGGAAATAACAGCACTTTCCTCGTTTATTTCAAGTCCATCAAAAATTTCTATTAAGGACATCAAAGCAATGACTCGAATACTTTCCATGCTTTCTGAATGACTCACCTTTTAAAGAAACTGCTGGGAAATAAGGCACCACTAAGGTTCCTTAATTTCAGGGTTTGAAACTTTTAAGAACCTCATGGAAAATAGTCAGAACAAGAAGCCACAAACCCACCTTCTCATAAAACCCTTCTCCATATTTTATATATTAGTATTAATTTCTGTGCTACTAGTTTGAGTTGTTTTACAACCTGCATGCCAGAAGATAAAAGAGCTCATTAGTCTATCTTTGTGACTGTGGAAGGTAAGTTAATTGATCAAGTGTATTTATTGCTACCATTGATGGAGGATGATGGCCAAGGGAACAACTTTTAAATAGGATGATGATTGGCTTCATCTAAAACTAGTAGCAAAATAAGGGGTTGTCTGCTGGAGACAAAGGGACTTCTGGGAAGTTTCTATGCAGCATAAATAGCATTTTCGAAATCTGACTCTTGCCTGGTTGTAAGAATGGGCAAAGTTTCCAAATTTTTAAATGCTTGCTGCATTTCTAATGACTGTAGATGGGGTGGGAGGCATTGCTGCTGACTTCAGTGGGAAGAGACTTGGAGATTTGCCATGGGTTAGGAACTTTTCAGGTTATAGCTTGAAGTGTTTCATCTATTTCCATAGAATCACTTGCTTATCACAATTATTTGCCCAGCACAGTGCTCCAGGAAGTGAGGTTACTATCCTGCAACACCTGAAAGGAAGGGCTGAGGACAATGAGTATCCACTGTTAGGCTCTGGAATTCCAGCTTCGGGAGTGCATGATGGTACCCTTAAGACTGCTCATCTTGCTGACCTTTTTCTTCCACCTTCTATCCACATTTCACCAGAGCAGTGGCATGCAGTTGCAGACACACTCTAGCACAGGATGGAGCATGCATTGAAAACCTGTGGAGTAACAGCATGAGACTACAGGTAAAATAGCTGCTTCACTCCCCAGACCGAACTTACGTTGAGACACTCAAGTAGAAAATACAGAGTCTTTTGTCTTTTTACCATGGCAAATATCTGGTGATAGTTTTAGAGCTTCTTTCTGTCTCTGATAATAATTTTTTAAAATACATTTATCTTCAAGGTATCCAATTATTAAAGTCCATTCCTCCATTAAAGTCTCTTATTGCAGGTGTTTTTAGCAGTCAGGGAATAAGTCTGTATTGTCCTTCCTCAAGATCTCTTCAAGCCATTGTTCACTGAAGTGGAGAAATGCTTCAGAGCCATGTCAGATGCCTTCAGCATGCAGCCATGTGGATGAGCTGGCCCCAGGAGCCAGTCCAGTTCCAGGTTCCCAGAAAGATGTCTCACACCTCTCACAGTGTATCAGCAGTAGAAGGCTCTCCTCACCCACTGCAGCACCTCAGGTTACCTCTGTGAGTCATTCATTCTATAGGAAATCTCGTAACTATAAATGGGATATTTAATAAACCTGAGTTTTTTAATCTTTAGGTGCCCATAGCTATTCACAAAAAAAAAAATACACAGTCCAGCATGATCAGCTACATGCTGGGAAAAAAATACATAGCTTTGAAACACTGTGCTTGAGCAGGGTCAGGAGGTCTCAGTGGGTTCTCTGGCAGAAATGAACAGTTGGCATTATATTTTTCTCAGTAAAATACAAGAAGTTTATCTAGTAATAGAGCCTTTTGAGGGCAGAGCAGTCTGAAGTCTTGTAATACCCCCTGCATACACAGGGTTGTGTTGCAGGTGAAAACATCACGCTTAAGAAATGAAGGCTTAATTTCTGCTATTTATCCCTTACTTTTCCCTGCCAGTAACTGTCATCTTCTTATTGTGGAAATTGTCACCCTGTGGACATGTGGTTGAAGTGGTTTGGGGGTTTGGGCTTAGTTTGTTGGGGGTTGTTGTTTTATCTGCTCTCCCTGGAGAAAGGGATGCTGTATATGTGTGGCTGCCTAGACCAAAACCGGGGATGTTGGGAACTGGAGGTCCCAGTCTTTGCTGTGCCAGTCCTGGTGACGCGTGGATGCGTAAGTCTATTTAGTATGTGCCCCTGCAAGAAATACATCTGCAAGCATGACATGATATCTGTGGGTGCAGGAGTATCTCTTTGGGAATTCCAGTGTTTGGTTTGCTGGCAATATTGCTCCAGTGAATAGCTTTTTGTTGCTTCCCACCTCAGATGGTTTATCTGTGCAATGGAAATTGGGCACTTCCTAGCAAAACCAGGTCTAAATTTTGAATTATTCATAGCTTTTTGCATACCCTTGGCTGGAGCATAAGCTGCAAATCTGTGAAGATGCACACCAACATTTCTGTGGTTTAAGCATTAGGGAACCCCCTTTTCCAAAGACACTGCTGTATGTTTTGTGGCAAGTCTGTGTTCAGCCCTTCAGTCCCCAGGCGTACAGTCTCAGCACCTAGACCTCATGACCCCTTCCTGTGTGCAGACCCATGTTTTTATTTTGTAGAATCTGATCTGCTGGGGGCTGCAGACTCAGAGCTAGGAAGGTGCCTCTCATCTGCTGTGTCTTTGAGGTGCAGAAAGCAGCATCTAGCATATCTAGACTCCATAAACTATCAGGGCATAACCATAACAGGTACAGGTAACAGCCCCACCCCCAGCACTGCCCTCACCCATGCCACAGCCACACTCTGCACACAAGGCCCTTCACTGCCAGGGCTGTGGGCATGCACAAGGCCTCCCAAACAGGCTGGAAGGTTGGCTGGGTCACCCCATGCCTCTTGGTAACAGGCTCCAGTGCTTTGCCATCAGCTCCCAGGAGGCTGTGACATTTGAGCTTACACTGGCTGCCCCAGTGCAGGGAGGTCAAACAAATTGAATTGCTCTTCAAATTAGCTGGATGCAGCTTTGATCGCTGTCCATTTGAGATCTTGTGTGTTTTAGCTGGAAAAATGCACGCCACGTTCCAGCCACCTCCTCCAGCCAGGGGAGCGGTGATGCCACTGGCAAATGCGTGCGCTTGCTGAGAGTTACTTAGCTGGAAAGTTATCACTGAAGCATGTCCTCTATCGAGAACAATCTCAGCTTCACTGGGCCTATCTCTTACAGATGTTAATTCCCTGCTATTATCTTTACAAGTTCCAACAGCATAGTAAGCTGCAGTAAAGAGAGGGGATATGTTCAATTTAAGCAATGAGATTACTATGTTCTGAATAAATCCACTTTTATTAATAATTACCTCTCTGCCATGACTTTAAATTCAAACAGCTGGACAGCCTCTGCTCGTTATTAATTTCCTTGGATCCTTTGGCATGAAGCCCTCAATTCCTGTGATGTAATGGTATAAAAAGTTGGCTCCTGCCTGAGCTTCCACCCACAAGTTCTAAATTTGGAACATGGCAAATTTCTGCAAATTCCAGAGACAGGCTATGCTCAAGACGTGCTGATGCCTCCAGTCCCATCCTATTGCACCAAACAACAAGACTGTGTGCTTTTTATAACTGGGATCATAAACATGACTCAGATGCACATGTTGTCTATGTAAGCACTTGGGGTTGGCTATCACTTTATGGCACTGGGAGAAAGCCAAGCCAAATAAAAATTGTTTTGAGTAAATATTACATTTCTAGAGCATGAATAACTTTTCTCTTCAGCCAGCATGTCACTAATGGGAATAAGGAAGAAGTCGGGGTGGGGGAAAGCAGTAACTAAATCATCCCACTAAACACAGTCTGCAGCAAGACCTGTTGTTTCGACTCGTCTGGGGTGTAATATCCTAGATAATTCATAGCAGGTCTCAGCAAGGCCACAAGTGACAGAAGTAAAAATAGCTATATAGTTTAGCGCCATGCTGCTGCACAGCTCTCTCTTGGGTGGGATCTCCACCAGTGGTATGTAAAACAGGCAACCAAAGAACCAAGTGTCCTTCTCTCCCCCGCTCCCAAACGTGCAGAGGCTCAAGCATGTGGATTGCTCCACAGAGATCAGTGTTGCGACTCACATGCTCAGTGCTAAGCGCGTGCACATGTCTATTCAGGATTCAGGCCAAAAGGAAGGATGAGTTTTTCATCCTGTGACTTTGGGACCCTGGGGGATGTCTGCATTGCAGAACACGGGAAAACAGAAAATGAGTCCACATGCAGCTTTGTGCTGCTGCACCAGAAGGTGAAGCAGCTTATTGGCAGCTCTCTGCGGCAGTGATAGGACATCCCACCACCAGCAGACACCATGCAGGGCTGGTTCATCATGGCTGTTGGCTCTGCTCCAGTACTTCCAGCAAGCTGGTATGTCTCAGCTCCTCCTCACCCCCCAAAAATATAATCACTCCTGCCCTTGAGCAGGACTCAGCAGCATCTGAAGTGCTTCACCTACCTGAAATGCAAAGGGATAAAAGCAGTTTTATTTCTGTTAGAAAGTATCAGGAACCATTTCCCAATAAAAGGAATCTTAAAGCCTCCCCAAAACAATAGCCAGGAAGAAAAGCGAGAGTCTAGCTTTGAAAATCATTGGTAGCTTTCCCGTTTTCCTAGTAGGCATATAATCCTGAGCATTTTGCATTCCTGTGTGTTTTTGCATATCTGGTAAGTGCTTTCCTGAACTTTGCTGTCTTGTCTTTTTTTATAGGAAGAAAACCTGGCTTTAAAAGAGGAGCTCAGACGGGAAAGCAGCAATGTTCCAAGGGAATTTCCAAGTCAAGCAGGAGAGCAACTGGCTTCTCAAAGAGATCCCTAAAACATTCAGCTACGCAGTTGGAGCAGGTGAGTGGGAAGGCGTCAAGAGCACTCGACATTCTTATGTCCCAGCCATCCCTATCAAGTGTCTGAAGAGCTTTTCTGTGCAGTGGGCTGGACTAGGGCTTGCAGATAAAATGTTTTAAGGGCTGTGAGCCCTGCAATAACAGCAACAGCCCTGACGTCAGCAGACCTATACCTCCAGGGACTAGCACTGAGAAATCAGTGCTGATCTGCCTAGCAAAGGCAGATTTGACTGTGCTTCAAGGATCTGGGCGATTAAGTCTTTTTCCATGCCTTGCAAGCTGCCAGTGGTCATTTTCTGCCAGGATAGCAGCTCAAGCAGTGTGTGAGGGACTGGCTCCCTCCCCTTTGTAAAATTCTCTGAATTTTACAATTCAGAGAAATTTTTGTAATATAAGAAAGTGTTTTTACGTGTTGGAGCTTCTAAATTGTTAAAACAGTTGGAAAATCCTAATTGCCATTAGTAGACAAGAAAAAAAAACAGTGAAGAAAACATTTTGCAGAATGCAGAATTAACAAAATTGGGATCTGAGGATCAGTTTCCAAGACCTAAAACATTTTCAAGGCGTCCTCTTGTACATGCAGGTTTAACACAAATAGTCAAGTCTTCAACAAGTGATTTGCACCTACCTGCAAAACTTGCTGCTCAGAGTTGCTTTAAGCTCTGAAAATTGTCCAGAGACACAATGTCCAGGTCAGTCATGTTTAGATTTAATCCAGGATCTTTCTGGGTCTCCATATGCAAAAGGGAGAGAAAAACCTACCTGGGATTGATTCAGCAGCCTGAATTAGAAATGATGAAGGAAGGCTTGGCTGGAGCACAGTATGGCTTTATGACTACTGGCTTAATTTTCCTGACACTTTGTGGGTAGCTGTGTGGTGGTTTAGCTTCAGTTAATTAGAGAGCTAAAGGCTGCTTCAATTTGTGGTTGTTACCCAAGAGCTCACAGGGCGCTTTCTGGCTGCCAGGGATCAGGCCTGAAGGTGGAGGAGCCAAAGGTGATTCTGTGAGGGGCTGGTAGGGAGTGGTGTCAGAGGCCTCTGGCCATGCAGGAGTTTCCCTGGTACACATGGCCCTTTCCAAGGCCTCATGTAGCGATTTCTGATTTGCACCTTGTGGACACAGATTGTAGTTTATCATGGTATTGCTTAAAAAAAACCTCTCTTTTTAGGGAATAGCTAAGTATTTTGCAAATGTTTGTGAGCTTTTTTAATGGGTAAATATCACTCATGTTTCATCAATGAGCAGCTGAGGCATAAGGAGGTTGAGGGACCTAGCAAAGGTGATAGCAAGTCAAATTGTTTGGAATTTTGCAGCTCCGAAATATCATCTTTGTAGAACAGGAAACCCTCTCAGGAGTAGTAGGTTTTCCTTAAAACAACAGTTCAAACCTGTCGATCTTGATATATCAGGAAAAGGAGGAATGTAGAAAATGTGAGAGTTAGCTTAGTCTCTCTTGAACTAAACCACCAGGTTCATGTTCCTATGGAGAAACAAATACCCTGCAGGCATCGTGGTGTCTTTATTTTTTGGAAGTTGAAAACTCCCCCTGTTGGTGTCTGAGCTAAGACAAAAACAGGGATTTTCTGGGCCAGCAAAAGGTTTCTAGAGTAAAAACCCTCCAATCCCACTTCTCAAGAGTTTATGACATGAGCAGTTGAGCTAATGTAATCACACTTAGCCTCCCCGACGTTTCAAAATTGGATTAAATTTCATAAGTTGTTGAGGGAAAATGTTACCCAACAGAGTAACTGTATGACTCTCAGATAAGCGTCAGGCCTTTGCAGCTATGGGTGCGGGCCCTGGTTTCAGTCACCTGAATAATTCAGGGTAACCAGTATGTCCAGAGCAGAGGAGGGGATGGGATGCATCGCTGCTGCTCAGCCTTTGCAGCCACGTGGAAGCCCACCAAGCTGTAATGACTGGGTATGCTGACAGTCTTATCCTTTGTAATCTCCTTGGTCCTCTGTTGTTTTGTTTTGTTTTTTACTTTTCTTTGGCAAGGTAAGTCACCCAAACCCTAAAAAAAGGGTTTGGTTGGGTGTTACGTGTGCCTCCCTTGCGAAGGACGAGTGGGTTTTTCCTCCTGCAGTAGCAGTGTGCTGCTGCACGTACACAGGTGACGCAGCTCCAAGCATGCTACCAGCTCAGCTGTAAAAGCCCCGGGTAGTGCCTCATCTGTGTGAATCCGCCTTTCAAAACAGGATCCTCACAAGTGATTAATTACAGCCTGCAGCCCGGGCGCTTCGCTCCGGTGAGCAGCCCGAGAGCCGTGCGGCGGTGTCCGGCTGCCATCTGCCGTTCGACTCTCGGCGGGGGCCACGGCCCGGCAGGGACACACGAAGCATCCCCCAAGTCACCCCGGCCCGACGACAGGGCGGTTGAAGTGGCAATCTCTGGTCTCCGTCTAAACCGCGAGCAAATCCTGCTCAGACTCACCAGGCCCCCCCGCCACGGTATCTCCGGCATTCCTGCGGCAGATCTGGTATTTCTTATTGTTCTCCCCGTCTCTGGGGGAGCAGCTGCTGCTGCCTGACCGGCCTGCCGGGGCAGGAGCTGGCGGAGCCCTGTGCTGCGGGTCCCAGAACTAGCCGGGGGCTTTGGAAAAATCGTGTCAGTCTTCTCGCCCGGCTTCGGCAAGCTGGGAGTCGGGGCTCATCAGGAGGGGCAAGATAGACATGAGAAAAGAACGGAAAACTGGAAGAGCAGCGAGTGGTCGTGCAGCACCACTCTGCTGGAGGTGCTGTGGGCTCGGCACAGGAGCTTCCTGCTAAAATAGCTGCGCCAGTCTACAGCAGCAGAGCACGCCTAGTCTGCCGGGTGGTAAACGCGTGCAAACTGGCGCACCGTCGGCTGCGTGGCTGGGCCACCAGTAGCAGTGACTGGTCCGAACAGATTGCGCAGGGGAGGCAGAGCTGCATAAGAAGCTGGGCAGAACGGGACCCTGCTCTGCACAGACGGCAATGCCGGGGAGCAGCCCGGCCCGGCCCGGCAAGGGCGTTCGGCACCCGTCGTGGTTTTCCTTTTCCCTGCTCGTTTGGTGAGCTGTTCTGCCAAGCTGGTTCTAGTACCGCGCCCCATGCTTGTGCCCAGCCCTTGGAAATATGATTTCAAGGAATATACACTCTGGATTTTCTCCTGCCGGGGGGGGAAGGATATGCTGGCTGGGGGTGGCCTGAGAGCAGCTGTGGGTTTGATTCTTGCCATCTGTAATGGTGACAGTGAAGGGAGCATGCGGAAGCATGGGCAGACAAGTTTCTTTTGCAAGCAGGGCCATGCACAGCTGTGCTGTGAGATGAGGCTTGGGGTGATGGTTCTTTCTGCCCAACTATCTCCTCAAGATGTTTCATGGGCCAGCAGAGACCCCCTTGGGCATTATGCAGCCCTCATGGTAATTTTCTTCATGGCTTGGAAAGAGTAAATGCCCCAGTGCATCACTGGCAAAAAAAAGTGGCTGGGAAAACACAACCTCAGGCTGTTCCAAATGCAAAATCTCATTCCTGGCTGTGCTTTGAGAGGGACTTTCTAAAGGTGTTTAAGCAGAGCCTGAATAGTTTTGACCTTAAATAGCTTTTTAAGCATCGGGTTTTGGTTGGTTGGTTGGTTTTTCTTTTTTAGTCAGGACTGAGGAACCAGCACTCCAGAGGACCTGGACCTCCCCAGCACTCACATGCTGTGTTGGGGCTGAGAAGCACAAGCTTTGTTAGAGTGGAAAGAGAAACCCCTATGCTCTGGTAGGCATTGAACAGCTAACGCACACCAACACCGAAGAAGCCTGGCTGCTTTTGAAACTATCTTGTGTCACTGCTTGAGTTTTTAATCCCGTCTGAGTGGTATACATGCTAGTGTATGTGTTCAAATTACACTTGTTGGCCATGTTGGGTGAAAGGACACGAGTGCAGCTGTGGGCAAGAGTAGCCAACACAGGCCTGTGCGAATCACACTCAAGCATCCACACAAACACACAGGTAAGTTCCCCATGGTGAAATCTACATTGCCCGAGGAAATCACTGCTGTGTGCTGAGGAAACAGGCAGCAACAGGAATAACAGCAGGTTATTTGAGCGTTTGCACAAATATATTATTAGACCAGATTCTGTAAAAGCTGTTTGCATGCTGTAGCCATGGCAAGTAGCTGTATTAATTAGTAATTGTATTAGTAACAGTGTATAAAGCTGGTGCTAGATCAAGCTCCTAGATGAAGATGGCCAGTGGGGAAAAGTGGAGTGCAACTGTTCTGGGGTTTGAAATATTATTTTTTTCCCTTTCTGAAGTGTTAACCACAGGCATTTCCATCGTTCGAAGGAAGTGCACTTTTGACATAGCCAGAAAGCCACTTCATAAAACCGCGCTTCTCTGCACTTTCACTTCCCTGGGGTTTCCAAGTAGTTGAAGTTCATAGTGAGGCTCAATGCATGAAAGTCACTATAGTCTCTAAATTCATGTAAAGTCCCAAACTTTGTGGGTTTTTTGGAACTCATGGCCACATGAGCAGGAACAGGAATCCTCAGGCCATGCTGTCTGTATGGCTGCTCACCTGGCCAGGCAGGGAGCCACAGGGTGTTCCAAACCACAGGCTGGACTCTTCCCACCCCTACTATGTCTCCCCTCCCCCTTTTGTGACTTGAAGGGATGAGTTTGGGTCCCGCTCCCAAAAGGGGGTGTATGTGGGAGCTGGCACATTGCACATCCTTCTCTCAGCCTCCGGGATTTTTATCCTGCAAGTCAATGAACACTGTTCAGAGGAATGAAGAAAAACAGGACTGGGGAGAAGGATGCACAAGGCAGCTGGGAAAGCACTATTTTCAGGTAAGTAACCTTCCTTACACGTTTTTTCCTTGCCCTGCTTTACTCCCGTTAGGAAAGCTGTATGACAGCCCAGACTTTGTGCTGCAGCTTAAGAGCTTGCTGGGTGATGCATCCAGATGTCTTTCTGTGGTGCAGGGAGGGGGGATTGGAAAATATGCCTGACTTAGCTTCAAGCCTCTGTGCATAATTTTATCCCAGGCCAGTGGTAACACTTGTGTTGTAAAATCCTTTTTCCTAGGCTCACGGAACAGCTCTGGGATCAGATATACTGTCTCTGGGATAACAGAACCAAATTGGCTCATGAACTCCAGGACAACATGCTACAACAACAGCAGTGAGATAATTGTAACACATCAGGAGACCCGGTTCACTTCACGTTTTGCCAGCCCTTGTACAGCATTGTACTTCTCTGTTTCGCAGACAGGTGCTGCAGTTGTTGGAGGGGAATGAAGCTGGCGGGTGATTTTCACAGTCTCGGGACACGTTCGCAGGGTAATGAAACCCTGTTAGCGAGGGAAGCTGCGGCGCTTCGGGGCTGAGGCACCACCAGATGGCAGCTGGAGTCCAGGTATGAGGCAGCCCCAGAACTAGGCTCTTGCTCCTGCCTACTGCCTCCCCCCGGCCACCGGCATGGCACCGGGACGAAAAAGATTGTGCGCGTGAGGAGATTCACATTGTCAAATAAGCAGCATCGTGCAGGCAGCGTTGGAAAGTCCCTAACCGATGCGTGGGGCAACTAAAATCTTGCTAGTGTTGTGGGAGAGTTTCATTGTTAGAGATGACAGCTAATTCTTCTAATTCACTTCTAATTCCTTTTTTTAGTGCCCTTTGCTTTATGGACAAATCATTACCTCTTCCTGAAGCAGCCAGCAGCATGGATATCCCTTTTCCTGGCCAAGCACCACTTTCATCAACAATCGTTTGTGTAATTGTTTCACCTATTGGAGATAAAAATCAGAGCAGTTATTTTCAGGTCACTTTTACTGAAGCGGATGGTGCAGCCAGTGTTCCTGCTGGCCTGTGTGATCAAACAGCTGCTTCCTGCGGGGGGGTTGAATGTCCCATCCCCCCACCCTGGGGTACAGATATTGTACTGACACACTGCTGCTTTCCTATGCAGGTTTTGCTTTTGTGGCTGTTCATGCAGGACAGTTAACAGACATGGTATGTGTTGCTGGAACCAGGCCTGTTAGAGTTTGGGAATGTGTGAACAAGTACGCAAGTCTCATAAGTCAGCTTCATAAAATGGTCACAGGGTGGAAAAAAAAATCCTGTTTTAGGACTAAAATACCCAAACATGGTACTGTGCTATTGGTTTACAGGCCTGTTCCACCACCAGCAGCAAGTGAACCTTACTCATTTGGTGGAAAAAACCAGTGGCTGAGCCCTCCAGTGCATCTCCTTGGGGGTCAAGAACAGCAGACACAGCTCTCCACTGGCCTCTGCATAGCTGAGGCAGCTGCACAGGTAAGGCACTAGGACTTTACACGGCTCCTCCGGTGGAACAGAGACGTCCAGAGCAGCATGTCACTCTCACCACTAGCAACCTGACTGGTTTCTTGGCATAAGAGAGTGCTGTGACCCTTGGCTTCACAGGAAATCACATGGCACCAGGGGTACAGTTTTCCATGCTGCACTGCTTCATAAAGTGTGGTGATGCTGACTCACAGCTCTCCCATCTCTTTGAATGCTGTGTTTAGTGAGGCTTTAAAGGGCTTATTCTGAAGTGGCATTTTTTCTCAAAATGCGGTAAGTTTGTTTTTAACCAACCTCTTCCCCCACTTTTACCTCACACAAAGCTTTCTGAATGTGTCAGATTAAGCTGGGACAACAAAGCTAAAACCAGACTTTCTCATTTCATCTTCTAGTAGTGACTAAGAAAAACTCCAGAGGTACACAGATGACATTTTAATGAAGGGCTGTTGTGCCTGCAGAGGCACATGTCTGTGTGTTCTAGGGTCCTCTCATGCTGCAGACGTGTTTCCCCATTAGCTTGCTGGCACAACAGGTCTGCCCTTGTCCCAGTGTAGCGCTCCATTAGTGTAGACCCAACATCTGGTGTGCTTTGTGTTTCAGCAGACAGCTAAACTGCACCCTCAGTATAAGTGTCATTGAGCAATGCTGCCTGCAGTAGCTGAGCATCACTGTTTTGTATCAAGGTGTACTGAGTATCAACATCTAAAGTAGTACTGGTACTATCTGTTACCGCTGCCTAATAAATATTATGGCTTTAATCCAAACCCCACTGATCAGACCATTAGAAGTATATTTCTTCCATCAAAGTGATACTTTCCATACCACAGTTACTGGATATTAAACTCCAGTAACCCAAAAGAAACAAATGCAAAAAAAGACATTAATTAAGAAATGTAAATGACTTTATATTACTTTATTAAACAGCCAGTTCTAAAGAACAGTAAAAAAACCATGAAAACATGCATCATTTGGTGTTCTTAAAAAATATCTGTCCAAAGTAAAGACTGTTAGAAAAATTAAAGTTTAGCCCCAACACACCTTCTGCTCTCCAGATAAAGGATGTCTGGTAGTTATAAATACTGTTCTGTCTCCTTTAGCAAAGTTTAACAACACATACATTAGTATTTCTATTATAGGTTGGGCTGGGGTTGGGTTTTTGTTTCATATTTCTTCTGTAAACATGGTAAATTTAAAAACTGCGTTGTTAGCAAGCTTTAAGGACTCCTGTTTTCCTGTACAGTAAATACAAATAGGAATATCCTGAACTTTCTTTCCAGTCTAATCAGCGCTTCACTTATGGAAATATTTAAGATTTCAATTAGTATAAAAATACAACCAGAGAATAAATGTCTGAGAGAGAAGATTCAGTATTTGAGTGAGTCTTAGTTAACAGGCAAATAAAATGCGTTGACTTCCAAAGCTGAAGATCACTTCTGTACAGCTTCTGCCCTTCTGAGACTCAAGTATCACAAATGCACTGGTTATACATATGAAACATTCACTTCTTATTTACTAAAAATAATTTAACATTTAGCTGGACTAAAAAGCAGGTGCTAAAAGATGGATGCCCACGTTCGGTGTGCATAAAGGCCAAAGTTGATGAACAGGCTACACCAAGGGACATCTGCTCTTCAGGAGGGGGACTTAGTTCTCAAAGTGTCTGTACAATTTAGCAAGAATACTACTTTATTTAGCAATAGACTGACTTCTTGTTTGGTGTGGGAGATCTACAGAGCAAAATCACAGACTTGTTCCTTTTCCCTACAGAGACAAAAATAACTGGCTTGGTCCCTGGAGAGAATTCTGAGGCAGAGCAGGCAGCTCTTTGGGAAGCCTTGTCACTGGAAATGCCAAAGTTGTTTTACCAATGGGAATTAATATTTTTCTAAAGCAGTTTTGCTACACATTTCTCATTTTTATCTAAAATTTAAATGTCAAATTTAAGTTTTCCTCTTGATTTTTTTTTAATTTTCCTCCCAATTTTAGAGTCAGACAAAAGCAGTGCATCTGAATGAGTGGTGTGTTATGATGGAATTTCTTGCACAAACATTGCCTTGATGCAGATAACATTTGGCTTGTGTGTGTTATCATCTTCCATTCATGGCCCCCAGAAATTTGTGATTTTAAAATGCATCTTTTACACTACCATAAGAACTCTCAAAGGTTTTTTAGCACTTCTCAAGTATGAAACGGTACAAGAGCAATCTTGTTTTAGAGCACCATTTTGTACCTGCCTACTTCTAGTTTTTTTGTTTGGATTCCTGAAAACAAAGGAAAATTGGACACAGAATCTGACCAGTCAGCAGGTATCCAATGAAGCCAGTCTACCCTTGCTAGGGAAGAACGTGTCTGAGCACTCAGCACCGTGTGAAGAGCAACAGCTGGACAGGGCAAAACCAAAAGATGACTAAATGGAAGGAAAGGTAATGAAAGGTAATGCTCTCTCCAAGTTGGACAGAACCTCCAGGCTGATTTATCCTGGGTTTAAATTATACTCACTGAAGCAATGAAACAATTGCTTCCCTCACTTGTTGGAATGCAGTGATGCTGCTTGAGCAGTTAGGTACTGTCAGATGGTTACAGGCTAGTAGAGAAACAACTCTGTCACAAGCTACACTTACTTAAATAAAAATCTTCAGTTGGAAAGTTTTGTATAAAAGAACAGAATTTCTGGAAACATGAGGGAAAACAGCAACTACTGTCAGACACCACAGTGTAATTACTGAGCTCTGAGTAGACACTCCTATGTGGTAAACAGTATTTCCTTTGTGGAAAGGCCCAACCTGCTGAGCAAGCTAAGATCTTTGTAAGCGAGAAGCTGCTCTGTGCAAAGCACAATGGAGGAAGGCGGGCTTCTATTCATGGATAATCCATCAGCTAAAGTCATTACTCAGAAGTGGCTTTCTTCCCTTTCCAGCTCTTTTGTCTTTGCTCAAGTTCAGCTTCAGTGAAGGCGGCCGGGCCCCAGTTTGTGATCAAGTGAGGATTCTTGGAGCCTGGAAGACAGAGTGCAATACTTGAAACAGGTGTTTCTGATGGGACATTGCTCACCCACCACTCCAGGGACAGGCCATGTCACCACAGGATAATTTGGTAAGGGCTGTCCCTTCTGTGACCCGAAACCCTCTCAAAGGTGACCGGAGGAGCTGCCTGAGTAGGTGCTTAGTGTGAGAAGCTGTCAACTGCTGCAATCTTTTGCATCCTTATCTCCCAACTCCCCCCCAACAATAGCTCTATCTTAGTAAACCCCTTTTCTTCTTGCCTTTAGAGATGTCCTTGAAAGAAATTGATCTCTCCAGCAGTGTATTACACAGCCACTTTCCTCTGGGCTGGCACACTATTAATTAAGCTTTTCCCCAGAATCAAATATTTTAGCTAATATTACTTGATGTTTTTGGCAGTTAGCATTTACGCTAACTGTATTAAATACCCAAAGGATGTAATGTTAAGGTTGATCCTTGCTTTATTTAAAATAAATAAATAAATAGTAATAGCATTAAGACTACTACTACTAATAATGTTATAGTAGAGCCAGTAGAGGTAAAGACTTGAAAGTTACCATCAGTACTTCTCACAAATGTGGTATTTACAGCCTGGCATGAAACCAGTAACCTACAGGGAAAAAGACACACTTCACTAAATCACTAGGTGATCTACGCATATGAGATATAATGAAAAAATGATTTTGGTAACTCTTATGTTAAGAACTTACCTGGCTCTATTAGTCGAATTAATCCCTCATGATGAGCTACTTTATCTTTCCAACTCTTGGTGTTATTAGCTGCTGTTTCCAACTTTTTCTTAACCTCCTGAAATAAGACACAGTCCATTTGAAAACAAGAACAACTTTACTGTTAATATAGAAAGAAAAAACCTCCTTGAAAATCTCAACACAGAACCAGGCTAATTCAGCCAGCACTCCATTTAGGAGAACTTCACTTCTAACTATCCTAAGTCATTTAGCTGTTGCTGGCTGTATAAAAGTAAATTGTCAAACCAGAACCCCAAAGTAACTCATTTTTACAAGATTCTGTAGCTGTGCAAGTAAGGGTAGCCCTCATGAAGACTGAAAACATAAACTGTAGTTTTCAAACAGAAAGATGCACTTTTTGTTCCAAACTAAGACCAGCTACTGGGTATATCTCAACTATTAGAAATCATGAAATGTAAGCTAGGAAAAGATGACTGCAGTTACACCCAAGCAAGAAAGGTGTTCCTCAGTCTAAACTAGCCTTTTGGTGAATTCTAGAGAAGGCCAGAATGTTTAATCATTTCTAAAATAATGAGTCAACAACCACAGTGACTGACTCCATCATTTAATTTTGTGGATTTGTTTGTTTGGAGCTTTTTTGGGGGTGGGGGTGGGGTGTTGGGTTTTTTTTTTTTTTATGTCTATTGTATTCAGCAGCTCCTTTGGAGCAGTAAATGATGTTTCACATACAAAAAGACTGAGATGTCATCTAAAAAACAGGAAAGTTAGCCAAAAGCAATCTGAGGACGGTGTTAGATGTAACACCAACACAGTAAGTTGTGAAGTACCCAGAACTCCCCCACCTGGGCCCATGCTTGCAGTCACTGCAGCATTTGTATTCTGTGCCAGACGAGACAGCTCACTACCTTGTCCTTCACAGAGCTAACCCCAATGGCACGGAGACAGCATAAACACACTCCCTAGTTAAACAGAAATCTAGTCATGTTTTGTTTCCTGACCTAAATACACACAGGATCAACACCTCCCCAGCCCTAGAAAGTATGCAGCACTTCACACTCCATAATGGAGTCTGACTCTTATTTCTTCCATGAATGCAGCTACTGGCCTTCACCAAAACCAACAGAGCAGAGAAGGGGCCTGCCATTTAGACCACAAGGCACTGCTACATACTGAGAATCTAAGCTAATTCCTAGCTATCCTTGACATGAGTTCAGTGCTTGAATACTTGTTCGAGGAGTAAGGGCCTACAGGAGCACATTGGGTTTTCATCTGTAAAAGCTAGAATTGCCCTATGACATCATCAGAATGCTGTAAGAATACTTAAAAAGCATAAGGCATTTAGTTATGACAGCAACAGAACTGCTTAAGAAGTTAATCTGCACTAGAAGACAAATAGTATACAGAGTATTTCAGGGTATGACTGAGCTGGCTTGCATGCAAATTGAGACAAAAGAATACAGGAGGTGGTGTGTCTGAAACACCTCCCTTTCTTCAAATGTAACTACTGGTTTAAACCAAAAAAACCCAACATGTAACTATCCTACCTGTTGTTATCATTTTTGTGCCACACTAATTGCTAAAGAATAATCATACTGATGAACTTCAAATTCAGTTAAGCTACTGAACACCCAGCTAAGTATAAGAGGCTGATGAACAGAACAGCTCACCTCATATTGCTCAAGGGCTTCCTTCCTTTCCAGTTCAAGTTGTTTCAGCTGCTGCATAGCAACTTGAAGAGCCTGTTCCTTTATCATTCTCTGGTTTTCTAGCTCTTGTTTCTCTGCTTCTGTCATCTGAATGGTCTGTTGCTGCTGTAAGTGCCATTTTTCCAGTTCAGCTCTCTTTGCTGACTCCTCTTCCAATAACCTACAATGGGGATTGCAGTTTTAACCGCACTTCAAAGTAAGTTGTATCCATTATGTAGCATACACATAGGCAACCAAGATAAGTATTTTCTATTCCCCACCCCACCCCCTTGGGAAGCAGGGAAAAAAGTTATTGCTTGTTGGCTTGTCTTCAATATAAATCTGAAAATCATGCCAGCAGTGCAAGCAGTCTGACTACTACAAAGGGCTATTCAGAAAATTTAGTCAATAATGCACATACACAACACTGAAAACCACAGAAGAAACAAGCATGCATAAGTCAGTTACTCTAATTGTCTTAAGAGGCCTGAATATATGATGAAACAAACCACACTCAATAAAGCCCATATGAGTAAGAGGAGACTTAACCCTTTATAAATTACAATTTAAACCTGTGATAAAAATACAGCAGAAGGTCCTATTTATAGTTACTGCTTTATAAAATACATGATTGAGAAGTCTGTACAGAGTAATCTCAGTTTTTCAAGTGCTGACGTGCACAACACCTGATGGAAAAATACAAGTGTGCCTGCTTTTCTGAAACTGCTGAGCCCTCCCTCTGCTCAGGGCTAATCAAACACATAAAAAAGTCATAAATAGCAGCTTCAGCCTTCAAAGCTTAAGGAAAAAAATCTATCCTGTGCTTGGACTGCAAGCTAGTCTCCCTCTCAAGCACTGCGTCCAAGATGCAAACACTCTTTACTAGTATGGCACAGTAACCTATTATTGCAGGAGGTGAATGGGGAATTGAAATAACTTTTTACTAAGTCAAAACCATACCTGGCTTGAAGTTTTCTTACAGTCTCTTCATCCTGACGTGCCTGTTTCTCATCCTCCAAAGCTCCCTGTAGCTGTTTATACATTTCTTCCAGTTCACGTACTCTCTGTAAATACTGTTCCAGTTCAGATGATTTCTGAGCAACCTGCTCTTCCATTTTTTGTCTTACCTAGCAGCACAAATCAGGGACACAGATGAGCTAACGTTCAACTCACATTTCCGATTTTTAAAGGAATAGCCAGGTTTCCCTCAGATGTTTTCAGAGACAACCCTTTTCCTGCTGCCTGCAGAGCAGAACTGGTAACATTCGGTCTAGATTTGTAGATGTGTAACTAAGAGCATTTTAAACAAAATAATAGTACAGGTTACTTTATATTGCCCTAGTTCATGCAGCACAGGTTTTTTTTACAGGAGTTTAACCCCAACTTCAGTCAGTTTGATGCTGTCACTTAGTTTACAGATACACACTAAACCAAAGGAAAAGAAACACAAAGGTCAGTCTAGTTTAATTATACTGTTTCCACTCCTTTCCTCAGGCAAGTCCTCCCTTGGCAGCAGTGCATTTCATAAACTTAGATGTGGATGATGGCACCATGACAGCACAGGATGGATGGTTGGAAATCAGCTAAGAAGACTGGTTTTGCTAAGAGATGAGCAACTATAACAAAAAACGAAGGTAAGGGATAGATGAATGTGAGAGGATGCTGCACATCCACAGCCACCCAGTCTCTCATCCTTGTTACTCCCCCTTCACTGAACAGAGCAAGAGAGCAGAGCTGTCCTGTCCCACTCAGCCCATCACCATGCCAGGGACAACAGCAGAGAGCTGGCTTTGAACTGAGTCAGGATAAAGCACCAAAACCTCAGTATTTAGCAATATGTAACATGTACTTCACAGAAGGTAAACACAGCTCCTGAAGTCAGCAAGAAAGGCTTGCTGTCAAGTAAGGTAGGAGGGCATGTCCTGCTCTACTGGTCTGCACTCTGTTTGCCCTCCCCTTACTAAAACCCACTGACCCAGAAGGTGATCGTATTCAAGAATTCACACTTCAGCCTCTAAAAGGGCACTAGATGCATTTATGTTCCGAGACGTTCCAGCACATTGACTTGACCATTTCTACTTTTTTCTCCAGCTAACAGAAAAGCCTGTTACACCTGACAAAGCCCTTAAGGACTGAAAATTAGTTCTTTTGGAAATTCTCTGTGTGGATCATAGTAACAGCATTGTAAACCTACAATATTTCTTTCATTTTTTTATGTTTGTGTGTGTGTAGAGATGTATATACACAGTATAAAAAAAAAGCAGTAGTTTTAGGAATACATTCAAGTCATAAAATTCCTAAAATGCATTTTGATTGTGCCTGTGTTCATTTTGCATATTCTCATAGCACGTACTGGCTGCAGGTTCTCCATCTCTGAAAATTGCAAGGATAACTTCAAGTCTGGATTTAGTTTTCAAACAGTAAATTTTTTCCCAATTTTCCAATAATATTTAAGCTTTGAATGCTATACAAGTTGTAGGCAAGGTGTTCCACTGTTTGCATTCACTACATCTCTATGTAAACTCTAATAAATACATCGCAGGTTGCAGTCTCCAGCCTCCTGCAAAATCTGCGGAATACTTTCAGTGCCTGCCTGTGAGTGAAGTCAGTGCTGAGCGCTTTGCTCACTGTGTAATCACAGCAAAACACCACGTGCACTACTCACCATCTTTTCTCTCTCCAGCTCCAAACTGAAGCGATCTTGTAATTCAACTTGAGTCTGAAGTCTTTTCTTCTCTTCCTCAGCAGCACGAGCAGCTGCTGCTTCCAGTTGCTGGAAGGGCAGGGGGTGGGGAGGAAAGAGAGAGGAGGAAAAACAATTTGTCAAAACTGAGCCCTTTGGAGGGAATAGAATATTCATTAACAATTTTTAACAGAAATGGAGGAAACCTTCAAAAGCATTAAGGCACTAGTGTTTGGGTTTTTTTAATGTCTGAGGCTATTCTCAAATCTCTAAATGTACTTTTAAATCTTATTTCCAACAAAATTTTGAATTTACCAATGAAATTATCAGACTTCCTCCAAGTTTCCCTTGAGTGCTGCTTTGCACAACCAACAGAAACCATTATTATTTCCTTCTCTGTCTCATATGGGATAGAAAACTACTATGGAAACCCACATCCCAGGCAGCAGGACTGCACAGGAGTTCCAATAGTGAAAACATGCCAGCGTGCACACAGTTCATACAGAAACAGAAGTAAGAAGCACTAAATTGCCATGGGAAAAGCAGAAGTGCCACAAACTTTGACTGTAAGTGATTGTTCTATTGTGAGTCACATCACTTTGACATCCCCCAAATTGCCATAGAAGAAAAATAAAATCCTAGTTGATTATCGCTTGCAATTAGGGGGAAAATTAGCCAAGGCCTGGGAATGGCTGCTGGTACCTTCACACCTTCTTGCAACTTACTTAAGTTCTTTGGCGTCTTGATCTTACAAATAAAGATAGTTGTCACAGTTTTATATTTTATCAGGATTTTGACGAAATGTATTTTTAGAATGGAAGGAAGGTCAGAAATATACAAGTACCAGCCAAAATTTTAGCAATAATGAAAACAAAATAATTCTTTCCCATAGTTTTTCTAAGAAACTTATCTGACACTTCAGAGGAAACAGAAAGCAAGCACTCGTCTTCTGTAATACACCAGGCTTTGAATTTGTTTCCACAGACCTTCAGTAAGAGCAGAACACCCAACATCTGTAGTATTTTTGGAAGGTACTGCATTTAGCCCATCTTCCTTCACACAACCCAGATGAACTAGTGAGATGCCTACATGATTAAAACTGCCAAGCTAAAACTTTCATTCCTTTAAGCGCAGGAAAAAAAGGGAAACAGAGGGGAAGGCTCCTAGTTCCTGTTTTTAAGCTGTAGAACATGATAGTACAGAACTACTCTCCTTTGAAAGGCTTCACAGAATCACAGAATCCTAAGTGTTGGAAGGGACCTCAAAAGATCATCTAGTCCAACCCCCCCTGCAAGAGCAGGGTAACCTAGAGTACATCACACAGGAACTTGTCCAGGCTGGCCTTGAATATCTCCAACATAGGAGACTCCACAACCCCCCTGGGCAACCTGTTCCAGTGATCTGTCACTCTCACAGTAAAGAATTTTTCCTGATGTTCACATGGAACCTCCTATGCTCCAGTTTACACCCACTGCCCCTTGTCCTATCACTGGACATCACTGAAAAAAACCTAGCTCCATCATCCTGACACTCACCCTTTACATATTTGTAAACATTGATGAGGTCACCCCTCAGTCTCCTCTTCTCCAAGCTAAAGAGTCCCAGCTCCCTCAGCCTCTCCTCATAAGAGAGATGTTCCATTCCCTTAATCATCTCTGTGGCTCTGTGCTGGACTCTCTCCAGCAGGTCCCTGTCCTTCTTGAACTGTGGGGCCCAGAACTGGACACAATATTCCAGATGCGGCCTCACCAAGGCAGAGTAGAGGGGGAGGAGAACCTCTCTTGACCTACTAACCACACCCTTTCTAATGCACCCTAGGATGCCATTGGCCTTCTTGGCCACAAGGGCACGTTGCTGGCTCATGGTCATCCTCCTGACCACCAGGACCCCCAGGTCCCTTTCCTCTTCACTACTGTCCAGCAGGTCAGCCCCCAACCTGTACTGGTACATGGGGTTGTTCTTCCCCAGATGCAAGACTCTACACTTCCCCTTGTTGAATTTCATCAAGTTCCTCTCCGCCCAACTCTCCAACCTGTCCAGGTCTCGCTGAATGGCAACACAGCCCTCTGGTGTGTCAGCCACTCCTCCCAGTTTAGTATCATCAGCAAACTTGCTGAGGGTACATTCAGTTCCCTCATCCAGGTCGTTGATGAAAATATTAAGCAGCACTGGTCCCAGCACCAACCCCTGAGGGACTCCACTAGTCACAGACCTCCAGCTAGATTCTGCCCCACTGACCACAACTCTCTGCCTTCTTCCTTCCAACCAGTTCTTGATCCACCTCACTACCTGATCAAGCCCACACTTCCTTAGCTTATCTATGAGGATGCTGTGGGAGACAGTATCAAATGCCTTACTGAAATCAAGAAAAAAACGCATCTACCGCTCTACCATCATCCATCCACCTAGTTACTTGCTCATAGAAGGCTATAAGGTTGGTCAAACATGACTTCCCCTTGGTAAAGCCATGTTGGCTGCTCTTAATGACCCCCTCATCCTTGATATGCTGTCCTGGGTTCAGCAGTAGCAGTCATGTTTTTCCTTTGTGTTAACTGGTGCAGTGCTGTGTTTTGACTTCTAGTTTGAGAACAGTGTTGGTGAAGCCGATGTTTTCGGTTGTTGCTAAGTGATGTTTACCCTGACCAAGGACTCTGTGAGGCTCATGCTCTGCCAGGGAGGAGGGGAAGCTGTGAGGAAGCAGAGACTGACCTGACCCAGGCTAGCCGGGGAGGTATTCCATACCACAGCACGTCATGCCCGGGGTGGGGGGTAACTGGGAGTTACCCGGAAGGACAGGGGCTTCCGGGTGGAACTCGCTTTCTTGGCCGGTGGTATCGTATTCTCTTCCCTTGTTATTTTCCCTTATCATTGTTTTAGCTGATAGTAGCGGTGGTGATTTGTCTCAACCCGTAGGAGTTGCACTCTCTCGATCCTCCTCCCCGTTCCTCCGGGAGCGGGGAAGGGGAGAGCCCCGGTGCGGGGGGGGGGGGGGGGGGGGGGGGGAGACAGACAGACACGGACCTCGAGATTGTTGTCAGCTCGGCACCACTCACTGGGAGTGAGTGAACAAGTTACCTGACTGGGTTTAAACCACGACATATGCCTAGAGATGGTGTCAAGAATAAGTTGTTCCATCACGTTTCCAGGGATGGAGGTAAGGCTGACCGGTCTATAATTACCCGGGTCCTCCTTCTTGCCCTTCTTATAGACTGGCGTGATATTTGCCATCCTCCAGTCCTCAGGCACCTCACCTGTTTCCCACGACTTACCAAAGATGATGGAGAGTGGCTCAGCAATGATGTCCGCCAGCTCCCTCAGCACCCGCAGGTGTATTCGATCCGGACCCATCGATTTATAGATGTCCAGATTACTTAACTGATCCCTAACCCAATCCTCATCTACCAAAGCACACTCCTCCTTTATCTTGACTCCTTCCGGGGCTATAGGAATCTGGGTCCCCCAGGGAGAGTCTGCAGGAGTAAAGACAGAGGCAAAGAAGGCATTCAACAACTCTGCCTTCTTTATATCCTCTGTCTCCAGGGCACCCACCTCATTCAGCAGTGGGCCTATACTGCTTCTTGTGTTAGTTTTATTCGCTATGTATTTGAAGAAGCCCTTTCTATTGTCCTTGACCCAACTTGCCAGATTAAGTTCCAAGGAGGCCTTAGCTGTCCTAATTGCTTCCCTACATTCTCTAACAGCTGTCCTATATTCCTCCCAAGTGGCCAGCCCCTCCTTCCATAATCCATAGATTCTCTTTTTCTGTACGAGTTTGCCCAGCAGTTCCTTGTTTAACCATGCTGGTCTCCTGGCTCCCCTACTTGACCTCCTACTCACTGGGACACTCTGATCCTGAGCTTTGAAGAAGTGGTCCTTGAATGCTGACCAACTATCTTGAGCCCCTTCACCACCTAGTACCCTTTGCCATGATACTTCCCTCAGCAATTGATTGAAGAGGCCAAAGTTTGCCCTTCGGAAATCCTGAAATGTGGCCTTGCTAGGTATTCTATTCCTCCCACACAAGATCCTAAACTCCACCATCTCATGGTCACTGCAGCCCATGCTGCCATTGACGGTCACTACTTCAACCAGACCCTCCTTGTTGGTGAGTACCAGATCCAGCAGCGCTCCTCTCCTAGTTGGTTCGTCCACCATTTGCATTAAGAAGTTATCATCAATGCACTGGAGGAACCTCCTACACTGTGAGTGACTGGCTGTGTAAGTCTTCCAGCAAATATCGGGGTAGTTAAAATCCCCCATAAGGACCAAGGCATGTAGTCATGAGGCTGCTTTCAATTGCCTGTAGAAAGCCTCATCAACTCCTTCGTCCTGATCAGGAGGTCTATAACAGACCCCCACAACTGTGCCACCCGTACCAGCCTGTCCCTTAATTTGCACCCACAGACTGTCGACTTGGTCCTCATCTGTTCCTGGACAGAACTCAATACATTCTAGTCGCTCTTTCACATAAAGAGCAACTCCACCACCTCGCTTTGCTGATCTATCTTTCCTAAAAAGGACATAGCCATCCATGGCCACATTCCAGTCATGTGAGCTGTCCCACCATGTCTCTGTAATTACCACCAGATCATAACCATTAGACCGCACACAGACTTCTAACTCCTCCTGTTTATTCCCCATGCTGCGTGCACTGGTGTACAGGCATTTCAGGGAGCGAGCAGAGCATGCTAGTGGCACCCTTGGAAGGCGGGAGGTTTCCTGGTCTTCATTCATACTAGAACATTGCCCCACTAGTTCAAACCCAGCTACAACCCCCTCGCACTTCAAACCTAACCTACAGCTCTGTGAGTGAGCTCTACTAACTCTTGCCCTGGTACCCTTTTTCCCCTGCAGGACAGTGTTTAAACAACTACGCTTTCCCTCAAATGAAACAACAGATTGAAAGTTCTCCCTAGTCTGCCATTCTTCAAGCCCTAGCATGTTTCTCTTGGGCTTGTCCCCAACAGGCCCAGTTATCTCCCCTTCCTACCTAGTTTAAAGCCCTGTCGATGAGCCCTGCTAACTCCTGCCCCAGAAACCTTCTCCCCCTCTGGGACTGATGTATCTCACCTGCCACCAGCAAACCAGGTGTCTCATATAGCAGCCTATGATTGAAAAACCCAAACCCCTGCCTTTGGCACCAGTCACATAGCCATATATTGATCTGCAGTCTCTTCCTATTTATCACTTCACCTTTGCTTGTAACAGGTATGTAACCACTTGCACTCCAGACCCTCTAACCAGCCGTCCCAGGGCCCTGAAGTCTCTCTTCATTGCCCTTGCCCTGCTTGTAATAATTTCATCACTGCCAACCTGAAAAACCAGCAGCGGATAGTAGTCAGAGGGCTGCACCAGATCAGAGTTTCCTTTTAACATCTCCAATGCGAGCCCCAGGTAGGCAGCAGACTTCCCTGTGGTATGGATCAGGTCGACAAATGGGCCTTTCTGTTCCCCTCAGAAGGGAGTCACCCACCACAATTACTCTTCTTTTCTTCTTCATTGTGGAAGTTCTAAGGCATGGGGGTGAGTGACAAGCCCTAGGTGACTCACTAGATGGATCTACCCCTCCATCTCCATTAACCTGGCCCTGTAGTTCCAAGACCTCATACCTGTTACTCAAGGGCAACTGGGAGGAAGGAAGGGATTGTGAGGGTTTTCGCTTACCTCTCCGAGGAGGGACCTCCCTCCATACTTCCTTGTCCCTTAAGTTTACTCCTTCTGTCTGATGGTAGGAGGGAAGGGGATCTATCACTTGTTCAACCACTTCCCTCTGCCCTTGCCTTAGGGTGTGGCTCCACCAATCAATTTCACTTTCACACTCTCTGATAGCTCTCAACCTTTCTACCTCCTCCCTCAGTTCAACCACCTGCTTTAGCAGGTCATCTACTTGCTGACACCGCACACAAGCGGTGTCACTAGCTCTCTCCGATACAAGTGCCAGGCTTAGGCATTCACTGCAGCCAGAGACCTGCACGGCCGCATGTCTGCAGGAAGGCCCAGTCTGGGTACCCACGTTATTCCTAACTACAGGTTTTGATCGAGTGGTGACCATGATCTATCTGGTCGATCGGTCCGTCTATGTCTCTCTGCACAAGCAAGCAGTCCTTCCTCCTCCTGCGCTCCAGGCGAGTCCTCTTCATCTGGCGGTCACCCCACTCGCCTGCCCGTGCAAACTGCCTCGACCCCCTCTGTTCGCCGCGCTCCCTGGGCAGGTTTTTAACCGCTCACAGCTGCCGCCGAGCCTGCTGCCTCCGCCCCCTGTGAGTCAGCTGCTGCCGTCAGCTGAGCTGCCGGCTCCTGGGCAAGTCCTGTTGAGGACTTGAGGCTCCCTCCTCAATGGCTTTTGTTGCTCTGAGTTGAGGCTCCTGGACGCTGATCTCTCCCCGCTCCACTCCGGTGTTGCAGGCGTCCTCTCTCAATCTACTCCCCTCACCTATTACAACTGATTACCTCAGCAATTGATTCACCTCAGCTTAAATGATGCCAACCTTTCAGAAGTAGTACTGCTCCTCTGCCAGAACATTTAAAAGCATGTAATTGTATTCAGATCCAAGACACCTACTTAAGTGAAATTTTCTTTTGGTTTCCTTCCCTACTTTGAAATTAAACAAACATCATTGCCAATACTGAGCTGAGAGAGCGAACGTGCAGAGCAACAGGCAAGGGTGGGTGCTAGGCTTCTGCCAGAGCTCAACAAGAAAATACACTGCTTGTCTACTCTATCAGTAACTTCCTGCTTAATTCATGTCAGAGGACATCAGTTCCTGTCAGGTAAGATTACTCACAACTGTGCAGGCTAGGGGAAAGTCCCAAATGTTGGGGGTGCGTGGAAAGGGGGAATCCACAGGAACACATGATTCCAGCAGGGGTTAGTTACCAAGCACAGAGTCTCTGTAGCCCACAGAGGACCCCAGATTGAAACAGAAAGGGTACACAAGTCGTGTGCACACTCTCTTGGTAATAAAACCTTACCTTTCAAGTCTGTTCAATATGTGTAGCTCAAAATTCCATTAAAAAATATGGAAAAAAAATCTATTGTAGATAAAGGCTCTTATTCTTCTGATTTTTTTTTTAGTGCAGGAGCTATCAAAATACAAACCAGTCTCAGAGTGCACTTTGTCAGATGCTGCATAAAGTGGCTCACTGCCATCAGAAGGCAAATCTAACTCTAGGTTTTCCAGAACAATTCAGTTTCCTGAACCATTCACAAAGCCTTTTCCTTGAAGAACGTTTTTCCAACTAGTCAAACACTAAGTCCCTCCAACACAGTGCCCCCACTGATTTCACTTGGTCAAAGTGCAGTAGTTCATGTCAAAGACTAAGCTACTTCCCTTGAGAAACCATTTTAATCCAGCCCACTTCAAAAGATGCTTCTTGCCCTAACTCTCTTCAGTTTATCCACTGTGATTTCTACAACATTCCCTGGAGCCTGTCAACATCTTCCTTTGGTGTTGCTCTCATATTATCTTCCCCCCTTTTTCTCCATAAAGTAAACTCAATACAGAAATCCAGCCCTGTGATTTAACAGGTACATTACTTACCAGCAACTTGCAGGTAACACAGGTTATCCTTTAAAGCATATTTTACATTCTGAATTTTAAACACATGTTAGAATACAGGTGATCAAATTAAATTTAAAAATGTTTTTCCACTGTCAGACCCCATTTAAGGCAAACAGAGCAATACACACATCGGTGGTGTCAGTGCTAAGGTAACTGAAAAAAAAGACAAATTTGTCTTCACCACAAATTGTGTCTTAATGACAAGACTTTTTAAAGATACATTTTGGATTACTTTATTTGCTTTCTAGACTCAGCAGCTCTAATACGTTCTCACAATATTTATAGCTTCCCCCCACTGCAAAGATTAAAGCTTCTTCTAATTGAGGGCTAAAATTAGTGTGTTTTATTCATTAAAAACTTGGGCAATGATGCACACTTGTCCTAAATGGGAATGCAAAAAAAAAAAAAAGTCAGTTTAGGAAGGCAGTGAATGAAACGCTCCTTAGACCAAGCACAGAACAAAGCTGGACTGCTCTAGCAACAGGGACTCAGCAGCCGAAATGTTAGGCAGAAGCGGCAAGCGAGACATTTGATGGTGATTTAGGCTATTTCCAAAGCACGCACCTCATTAAAAGGTATCATAGCAGTAAAAGCCATAGTAAGTCTTCCTGCAAGCCTTTAAAAAGAAAAGATAGAAAGTATATCTGGATACTGATGAAGTGTCTGTGGAGAACTATTGCAGAGATAATTCCAAAGATCCATAAGCATGTTCCATCTACTGCTAAGAGTGTGCAGCCACAGCAATGGCACCTCTGTGTCTCCTGCCAGTCATTAGACTAAAATGCCATTTACAAAGAAAATAATGCATTCAGCAAGTCTACTGCTAATACTCAAGAGATTTCTAGTCCAATTCTCAGGCTTTCAGAAGTCAATCCAGCACTTAAAACAAACACATATTTAAACAGTTTATAAATGGTTACTATGTGTCTCAGCTCTGTAAATCTTTTACAAACTAATAAAATTACACCTATACAACTCACAAAATCACTTTGCACCTTTGGGACCTTTGTAAAGTAAATTTCTATCTATCTCTGAAAACAACTACCGTGTGAAAAGAACAGCTGCCCATGCATACAATTCGCATACTGTAACTTTGGAAACATATCTAAGAAAATCTTAATGTAAAGCCCCAGGTTTGACAGGTATGTGACACAAAAAAGAAAAAACAAAACCCCCACAGGTAACTAAAAACACTAGATTCTCTAGTCCCCAGACACCAGCCACACAGCCAGGGCTTTCTTCTACACTAGCTTCACAACGCCCCCATAAGTACAGGGTACAGGGCTGGGCCACGTGATTTACCCTAAGCCTGCTAACAGTGCTTACAACCTGCTGTGATCAGTATTGAATGCTTTACTGCAGCTCAACCAGCAAATCTACATGCTCAGAGCACTGATGCTTACACAAGCTCACCTCCTCTCGAGGCATTCACTCATGAACACCTGAACAGGAAATAGGTGCCTAATTACACTTCAAGAAGCCCAGCTGAACCACAGAGATCGAGCTTAAAGTTTGAAGGTCAGCTGCTCCCACTCCCACCTTTCGCACAGTCTCCAGTTCCTTCTGCTTGTTCTCATTGGCCATTTGCAACTCTTTCATCTGCCGCTCCAACTCTTCGTGCTCAGCTAACAGCTTCTGGCGCAACAATTTTCGTTTCTGGCGTGCTTCTTTGTGGGGTGGAGGGCTCCCCGCTCTCAGAAGGTTTACAGTGGTCTGTATGGCTGGAAAGGAGCATGGCAGACCAAGGGAGAGAAACAGAACACCAGTGAAGGGAAATGCTAAACTTTCAGGATAGCTTTAATGAATAAATATTTGTGGTAGTGTGTTATTTGTTAGTTTGGGGTTTTTCTTACAGTATTTTTAAATCAGAAATAACTGTTGTCAGTGCTCCTAACTCTCATCGGGCTAGCTATCAACACAAACCAAAAGTGAAAGACACAGCTTTCATTATTGGCTGTTGCCTGCAAGGATAAGGTCTGGCAATTCCAATACTGATTTCTAACAGGCCATGGAGGTACAAGCAACTTGTACACTTAGGTGTAAAAAAACAAACAAACAAAAAAACACAAAACAAAAAAAACAAATGAAACAACCAAAAACCCCAACACTTCAAGACTTCCTACTACCCAGATTCAGCAACTCTAACGAGTTAGTAAGATGTTACCCAACATATGCGTCACTTCTCTTGGACCAACCTCAAATCCTTTATTCTTACTGATACTGCAAGGGAACACATCCTCCCAGTAAGCCGCTTGCTCTCATTCAGTTACAGTCAATAAGGAAATATCCAGAGAGTACAGCTGAGGAGTGGCAGATGAATTTGATATTCACCAACTACAACTGCGAAAACATTTCTCCTCTTGGAACTAAGTAATCACAGAATCCTAAGTGTTGGAAGGGACCTCAAAAGATCATCTAGTCCAACCCCCCTGCAAGAGCAGGGTAACCTAGAGTACATCACACAGGAACTTGTCCAGGCTGGCCTTGAATATCTCCAACGTAGGAGACTCCACAACCCCCCTGGGCAACCTGTCCCAGTGATCTGTCACTCTCACAGTAAAGAATTTTTCCTGATGTTCACATGGAACCTCCTATGCTCCAGTTTACACCCATTGCCCCTTGTCCTATCACTGGACATCACTGAAAAAAACCTAGCTCCATCATCCTGACACTCACCCTTTACATATTGGTAAACATTGATGAGGTCACCCCTTAGTCTCCTCTTCTCCAAGCTAATGAGTCCCAGCTCCCTCAGCCTCTCCTCGTAAGAGTTTGCCCTTCGGAAATCCAGAAATGTGGCCATTTGCCATACATCTGACTAGTGCAATTAAATACATGCTTTAGGTAAGGAGGGAAGTGCAAATTAAAGCACACAGCTCTAAATATAGAAATGCTGCACATACTTCAAGGGCAGTGGCAACACTGGCTTTGCAAGGACTTCCACCTTACTCTGCAAAAGATGTATGTAACTGTCATTTGGCACATATGTCGGAAGGTGTTACAGAAGGTGTCAATTTCACTGTGGGAATAGAAAAGAAAGCCCTAATGGCCAGCTGTATCCTCAGCTCACCAAACCATACTACCCCAAGCAAAAGTAAAAGCAAAGCTAGTATTTTACTGTGCTGAAATGAACAAGCTTTCCCCTTCTTCCCAAAAGCAACAATTTACAATGTATTTCCCCTTCCCCATCCCTAGAAGTACAGCCAATATGGAAAAAGCAAACAACAATAACTATCCACTTCACTTTGGTTACAGCTGCCTAAATTAAGGCGCCTAAATGACAGAAAGAGAGTCCCTTTACACATATCCTTAGTTCTTCCTAAATCTCAGGCTCCGTAAAGATCCTTTCCATGTGCCCAAAACTGGGACATCAAAACTCACCAGACCAAGAATTTCAATTCTGAGCAAAGCACAGCTTCAAGACTTCAGCTTACCTTATCTTTCACATGACTAAGATTTTCGAAGCCTCACCTTGAATCCACTCCTGCTTCTTCTTTTTATCAGAGGCACTGATCTCAAAGCTTTTATCAAGACATTTTATGAGAAAAAGGCATTTCTTTCCATCTTTGTCAGGCAAGGCCTAGAATGGGTAGCAAAATGATTAGCCCTGCAAACACTGAAATCTAAGTTATATTGTCAAGTATACATATACATATACATATGCAGTTATTTGTTACAGAGCCACAAATAACAGCACTAAGAATCTTAAGTGCATTTATGAACTGGATTTTCTTAAATGAAGTAACAAAAGCTGTGCTAATGAAAGATATCGGACCCCCACACATAAAAAAGATTCATTCTTATCACGGTTTGTTGTTTGTTTGGTCCTTTTTCACCTCTACACAACAGTTGCCATCCAGAATGATGTCTCCCTTCTTGTCCTTCAAATCTTCACTTACATAGTAGGAAATAATATTGGGTTTTAGCACAAACCATCGTTCCATCCAATTTTTCCTTTTGTGTCCTTTTTTCAGCATATAGCCCTGTAAAAAGCAAGAGATCAGCTGAAATGCCCAGCCTCCGTTGAACTGCCTGGTCTTTTGTTTCTATGGCTTAAAGGTTCAATAAAGCACACAGAAAAGTCAGCTCAAGACCCTAAACACTTCATCTATACACTTCCATTCCTAGTACAGGCACACTAGTACAGCCTAGTACAGCCCATGAGAAACTACTTACTCTTCTTCTGTCCAGATTTTAAGTAACTGGGTTACCTGAAGAATTGAACAATTATTATTATGCCATTATCAAGTCACCGTTATGATCCTTTTTGACGCTGAAGATGGATGAATGAACTGGGAGGCGGTGTGTCCACTGCTACCGTGGCAACTCCTGTGTGTCCCTGCCCAAGTTATTTGGTTCTTAAATTGTAGGAACCTGTTCTGACCTAATGGTGAGATCCTATCAGACCACAAAGATGTGCTTTTAAGTACCATTGCTGTGGAGCAACAGAAAAAGACAAGAGTCCACTGGGCAGAATCAGCACATCCATACAGCCATTTCCCTGAAATCTTAAAGGAGCTAATGATTACTTTCAAGGTTTTTTTGTTAGACAGAGTTAACCTTAAGTAGCCTTCAAGAGTGCACACTGCATGTGAAGGATCCAGCACCTCTTATTATAGCAAACAACTTTCGAAAGTACAGGAATGAGAAAACAAAAGCAACAAAAATGCATGCGAGAAAGGCAGGAATGTCAACACATCGCTTTTCTGCCTTAAAAGAGTTTCTTTTCCATTTCTGTCTTTCAGACATGATTTTAAAATAGTGAATCCACTCCTGGCTATTAACTTCAAACTGATAAATACTTGAATCAAAATTTCCTTATTTCCCCTCAGTAACTTAACCCTATTGGCAATATCTGTTAAAATCATAAAGCTGGCACTTTTGTATTCCCACCACCAAATACACACTGGAGTTAACTCTGAAGTCAAAGACACAATTCATCCTCTCTCCATAACTTTAAAGCACATAATCCTCCATTAAATTAGCCAGTAAGGACAGTGACGTTCTCTTTGATGAGCTTTAATAGTTTTCTTCAGTCAGAGACGTGTTCAAGGTCAGATTTACGGGGCTTGGAGCAACCTGGGTCTAGTGGAAGGTGTTCATGCCTGTGGCAGGGGGGTTAGAACCAGATGACCTTGAAGGTTCCTTCCAACCCAAACCATTCTATAATTCTATGACATTTGTCATTGCTAAGACTCACTTGTAATACCTTAATGACAGCTGTTACTAGAAATCAGTTCTATGTGGATTCACACACCAGTGACAGATGTGGGCCTGTATCTACAAACTGAAAATCCCTGTTATGGGATACTCCCAGGGACGAAGCAGAAACACCTCTGTCCTGGGAGTGGCTCTACCCTGTCAACATACCTATTTAGCTGCACCCCACTAAAGAAACAATTCCATATAGGATACTTCAATGAGTATGTTAGAGAAACTGGTAACAGAACCATACTCCTGGCATCTTTTTTGGATGGGATATGGCAAGACTGGGGGTGCCTGGATTTTAAAGGAACAGAGTTGTACCTTGATTTAAACAACGCTAAGTTTTGGCTCTCAGTATTTAATTTTCTTTGAAAGAAAATCCACTTGCAAGCCTTAACAAAACTATTTTGAAAGAAGATAAGCCCATACTTTGTCACTGAGCTTTATATACAGTTAAAAGAATAAAAATTAAAATCTTCTGTAATGACAATAAATAGGCTGGTATTATGATCAAATCATCCCAGCTGACCTCTATTGAGCATTAACATATCTAAAACAAAAGCAGCAATACTAAGTGCAGTTACACTAGTAACCCTGTTACACGTTACCTGGTGTTGCTATGGTGATTCAAAAACTCTGTCAAGGAAACGGATGCCTGGAGAATGATGTAATAATTGGTCATTCTTTCAGGCATTTTTAGTGATCTTATCCAGGGCACTGCTGTGACCTAGTCAGTTTTTAATCTAGAGTTTCGCCAGTATTTCTGCTATGTCTGCCCTTTCTGAAACCATAACCCCGATTATTTACATACTTATGACAGGCTTCTAACTTCAGAAAAAAGTCAAATCACAGATGAAACTGAAACACCTACATCAACATAGCTATGAACAAGCAGTACAGAAAGCACTGTATTCCAAGTATTCCAGATTAAGAGGATGAAAGAAGTTGGAAAGGAGACCAAGGAACATTTTTCTGTAATGGGTTTTAGCTACAGCAATTTTTGACACAAGACAACGAATAAATGTGTTGTGACATATTCAAGTCAAAAGTGTCTTTCTGTAGAGGCCTGAGGGAAATTAAAAGTTAGGACAGTTGGAGCAGCTCTTTTGCTTAAAACACTAAACAAAAAAAGAAACAACCCCTACACGTACAGCTTATCTATGCTCAGCTCCTCTAGCCAGTTAAACGTGGCCAGAACCACGGCCGTGCCTATTCCCCTGTGCCATCCCACCCCCTGCTCCAAAGCAGGAATGTGCAGAGAAACAGCTTTGTCCGCCGCCTCCGCACTTGGGTCTGAGGTCTGGGTGGTCACAAGGGCATGTGAAGGGCTCCCACAGCTTCAATCTTTCATGCCTTCAGTACAAGTCATAACCAGGTGCTTCCTCCACCCCACCCCCTGACACACTGAATTTGCTTTCAAAGCCAGGTCAGACTGGTATTTTCCCCTCAAATAGCTGCAAAATCTTTACCTATTATTTCAGTGCATCAGCAGCTTCTCATCTTGCAAGAGCCCACTGACAACCCCTGGGAATCTTTTCACACCAACCATCATGTGACAGGCCACCTCTTTCAGAAAACTAGTATCACAAATGTTAACTATCACTGCTACCCTCTATAGGCCTCAGGGATCCAGGATAAGTGTACAGTAAAAAGGGTAGTATGATGCTTGACTACAACATGTCATTCATTAATACCTTGAAGTAATCACAGACTTTAATAAACTGAACCAGACGCCTGTAAGTCACACAGGGAGCTCTGTCCTCCATTAGGCTAGTGACTGTCCAGGAGGTGTTGGGCCAAATCTTGACACAAGCTATTTTTATGTGTCAAGGAACTATTCAAAGACACTCAGACATCCTTGGGAAAGAGGCGCAGCCACTGAGAGAGGAAAGGAAGGAGACAGTAAAAAAAAGGTGGATAGGGAGGTGAAGAGAGAGCCACAATGCAGTATCAAAACTGAAAAGAAATCCGATTTCCTCACAAGCCTCAAGTGGAAGGACTGACCTGACACTGGTTATTTAATTTTTCATGGTATTAAACTCCTGAATGACTTCATTTTGCCCTTAACTGACTATGTGTCCCCAGCCCTCACCTCTAACAGGCAACCAGCTGTTAACAAAAATAGACTTTCGCATTGTTCTGTGGATATTCTGAAAGAATTTCCTGTGCCAAGACTTTCTGACATTTCTTCAGAACAACTTAGGAAAGCCTGCCTTTGTTTCTCTCCTCACCAAGAATCCAAGAAATCAAAGATGAAAAAAATTCTCTGTCCGTCAGGTAAGAGTCAATTTTAAAGAGTTCTCTAGGTAAGCTCTGCTGTGACAGGTATAGTTTCCATTAAGGAAAATACAGTTTTAAAAGCCATTGCTAAACTGGTAATCCAGCCACTGGAAACCCAAAGAAACTGATGATTGACAGACGTTTGATAAGAATATGAAGGCCAGAATGACTTCTCGTGTTTAAGAATGGATAAGCTGTCAGTCACATAGCCTGCTAAGCAGAACATGAAGAGAGGAAGCTCTGGAACTCTTCTACACCTTTCTGCCCAGTTTGAAGTGATACAACTTAGAAGCAGACCTTTCAGCTGGAGCAGTACTTCTGTCCAGAAGACCTTATTTGCATACAGACATGATCATCAGCACAATGTTTATTGGCTACAACATAACTGAAACTAAAATCCAGTATCTTCTAAGACTGAAGAGTTGTCACCAGTTTAAGAACTGACAATGTGTTGCAGCTATTCTGTCAGCTAATAAGCAGTTCATACTAGTATAAAAAGGTCACATTTCAAGACAGAGCACACGTCTTTTAAAAACACTCTCCCAACAAGCAACTCAATCGTAATAGTGCAACAATTACAGCAATCTGAACAGTAGCGCAACTTCTCTTTTTTAAAAATAAGCTCAGATTAAAGAACCTTTGTGTCATTTACCTCATTTCCCCTGCTCATTATGCATCAGGTAAAGAAATTTCAGTACAAGTTGAACATTTTCTAATTATGCATACATTTTTCTACTCCCAAGGATTATTTCTCTGTGGCTCTTACCTGTTTGAGTACATCTAATATGAGCTCATTAAAGACTTCATTGATTGCCATGGACACCGTCTGTCGGTCCATTCCTTTACTAAACTGCCCGCTGCCAATGAGATCAATCAGCTCCCACGCAGAAAGACCTTCTCGACTGGTGTTGAGAGCAATCTTGTAATGGTCAAACTGCTCCTGCTGCCAGCCTGCTCCCATTGCTTCAGTGAGTTTTTTAAGTAAATATTCAATCTGTACAGGAACACAAACAGAAATCAATCCTTTTCAGCAGGAATGGAAACCAAGTGTTTCAGAGGTGTAAGCTAAGCTTCCCTAGACTATGATTACAGCTGGATTCCTGCATTCACATGAAGGCTCCTAAGCGTAGGTGGTTTAGTTAGCAAAGAGTTTAGGCTCCTGCCTCAGTTGAACTTTTGACTGCCAAGCCCTTCCTGCAGCTACTTTCCATTATAAAGAAACAAAGAATTGACCTGTCAGCCTCTTTTAACATTTTAGATTCCTACAGAACACATGGGACCTTTCCTGCAACAGCTTCCAAAATACAGTTGGGAGCCATGGCTGAAGCGTGAGAAAGCAAGAAGTTCCAAAAAGTATTCTGGTGAGATAAAAAACAAATAAATTAGAAAAAGCAAGAAAAGATGGCAGTTTGAACAAGAAGTGAAATGAAAAACTACCAAGGTATGATCACCTATCTTAGCCTTCACCTGACCCCTCTTCTCTAGCTCTCAAGCACTCCATCACTGGACACAATCTTGGCAGATTGTATCAAGAAAAGTAAAAGGACATTTTTTTCACGTCCATTTTTATTGTTTCCAAAATAAAATCTCCTTTTCCTTTCATCTTTTATCATTCTGTAAGCATTACCATACACAGGATAATAACACTAGTCAAAATAAACACAAGAATAGAAAAGAGGGAAAGAAGGCTGGGTTTCTTCTTTTGTCTGGGTTTTTTTAATGTTTTAAACTCATCGCTGTTCGCTCTTTAAACTAGTTCCCAATATTTTAAACTAAGCCCATCTACAGCTTTGAGCATATGCAAAATGCTTTTAATGGCTCTTTAACAAAATAATTGGTGAGAGCCTTCCTACAAAAACCTCTACACAACAAAATAAAAGCCAGGCTTCTAATTTTATAGGACTGAAGTCAGAGCACACCAATTAGAGCATTTAATTTGTTTTTGAAGACAGACCAAGCTAATGTGGCTGCCTGCCATCTTGGGTAATGGCTCAGACTGTGTTTCTCCACTTCACTACCTTCAGCAACCAGCAAAGCCACCTGCACCCTCCCTAAGGAGGAAGCCTGGGGAGAGGGTGCTCAGTAATCACGCACCAGCCCACCACAGGGACAGGGGAGCACCAGTTCCACCAAGAGCTGGCCTTTCCCTCCAGTCACAAGACAGCACTGAGCCACTTCTGGGAGGTCAGTCCACAAAACCCCAGTGAGGGCTCATCCCAGCTGCCCTGCTTCTGTACAGGCACAGGGAGGGAAATGCCCAGACATGCAGAGGGAAAGCAACACGATTCTTTCAGGTTCTGCTGTGCACGTGGAAGTAACAAAGTTTTCCTCAAATGCTGCTTTTCTGAAGCATTTCTTCAGGTTGGTCCGCTTCACTTTCAGTTTGCCTATTTTAGGTGTGGTTTTGGAAACACCAAGAGTCTGAATCCTGTTATCAAAAATGACTAAGCTGTACAACATGAACTCATTGAAAAGTGGTGGAAACCAAATGACTTCTAGGACTTCTTTTTTCTAATCACCAATGCTAGTTCACCTCTGTTCCTCAGCACTGCTTGAAAACACCATGAAATTTCTCCTACAAGTAAGAAAAACCCTGGCTGAGAGAAAGATGATGCTTGACCACAGAACAAATTGATTTTCCAGCTACAGCTCAGAGTTACCTTTCAGCTTGTCTAACAGGCTTTTGAGCACCCAGCCTGAGAGATTTGGGGTTACAAAGAAATAAAGAAGTGTTTTTTCCCCACAGATTTCACCACAAGGACTCCAAGGTCTCAAGGGTTTGATGCAGCATGCACACTAATTCTGTGGCTGCTGCTTCTCTCTCTTGCAATTAGTACAGTTGTAAACCTCTTTCCTTTCCCTCGTATCTGTCATCAAGAAACACAAGCGTGTAGCAGAACACACTCATCTGTCAAAGCAGTAAATTACCAAAATCACCCCACAGATAGGGCAGCTTTTCTTACTGTTTCAGCTCAATAAGTGTTCTTAGACACACAGCCCCTACTCTAGTATCACATGGACTAATGCTACAGTAAAATGGAGAAGCTACTGAAAGCTGCTGCACGGTCTAGAGGAAAGTTCCTGCTCCGCTGAATGAGCAGCAAGTGCATATGAACCGCAAGGTGGGAACTGGGGGAAGCAAAGTCCCTCCCACTGTAAGTGAAGATCAGGTTCATGACCATTTGAGGAACCTGAACATACGTAAGTCTATGGAATGAGATCCATCCCTGAGTCCTGAAGGAACTGGCTGATGCAGTTGCCAAGCCACTCTGCATGATATTTGAGAAGTCACGGCAGTCAGGAAAGGTCCCTGGTGACTGGAAAAAGGGCAATATCATAACCATTTTTAAAAAGGATGGAAAGGAGGACCCTGGGAACTACCAACCTCAGCCTCAACTCTGTGCCTTGGAAGATCACGGAACAGATTCTTCTAGAGCTATGCTGGGGCACATAGAGGACAGGGAGGTGATTTGAGTCAGCCAGCAAGGCTTCACCAAAGGCAAGTCCTGCCTGGCCAACCTAGTGGCCTTATATGATGGAGTTACTACATCAGTGGACAAAGGGCAGGCTATGGATGTTGTCTATCTGGACTTCTGGAAAGCCTTTGACACAGTCCCCCACAACACCCTTCTCTCTAAACTGGAGAGATACGGATTTGATGGGTGGACTGTTCAGTGGATGAGGGTTTGGCTGCATGGCTGCATCCGGAGGGTAGCGGTCAATGGTTCAGTGTCTGGATGGACATCAGCGACAAGTGGCATTCCACAGGGGTTCATACTGGGACCACTACTGTTTAATATCTTCATCAAAGACATGGACAGTGGGATTGAGTGCACCATCAGCAAGGCTGCAGATGACATGAAGCTGAGTGGTGCAGTTAACACACCTGAGGGATGGGATGCCATTCACATGGACTTGGACAGGCTCAAGAGATGGGCCCATGCAAATCTCCTAAGGTTTAATGGGGCCAAGTGGAGGGTCCTGCACCTAGGGCAGGGCAACCCCTGGCATCAAGTTAGGATGGGGGATGAAGGGCTTGAGAGTATCTCTGAGGAGAAGGACCTGGGGGTACTGGTGGATGAAAGGCTGGAGATGAGCTGGCAATGTGCACTTGCAGCCCAGAAAACCAATTATATCTTGGGCTGCAATCAAAGGAGTGCGGCCAGCAGGAGAAGGCAGGTGATTCTGTCCCTCTACTCTGCTCTGGTGAGACCCCACTTGAAGTACTGCGTCCAGCTCTAGAGTCCTCAGCACAGGAAAAGACACGGACCTGTTGAAGAGGCTCCAGAGGAGGGCCACAAAAATGATCAGAGGGATGGAGCACCTCTCCATCAGGTGAGGGAGTTGCAGGGAGAGGTGACGGACAAGCTTAGGGAGTGGCGGTCTTCTGCCTGAAGAAGACTCCAGAGAAACCTTATTGCAGCCCTTCAGTTCTTAAAAGGGGCCGATGAGAAAGATGGGAAAAGACTTTTTAGCAGGGCCTGCTGTAATAGGACAAGGGGTGATGGTTTTAAACTAAAAGAGGAGAGATTCAAGGCTGGATAGGATGAAAAAGTTCTTTACAATGAGGGTAGTAAAATACTGGCACAGTTGCTCCTCATTCAATTCTTACTAGCAAAGACATGATCTGAACAGAGATCTCTCCAAAAGCAGCATTCAATCTGTACACAAGTGCTAACTGAGAGGGTACGAGGTTTTTGGTGATCAGCAAAGATGACTTTCAGCTCAGTGCCTGCCACCTTAGGAAAGCATCCCTACAGACAACACACCTGCACAGCTGCTTCACCCTCTCCATGCAGGCTGTGCATCCAGGCCTCCTCCTCACAATGCCAGGGCTCTGCTTGCCGTGGTCACCACTGCTCACATCCAGACTCTTCAACACAAGTCATAAAACAACGCTTTGAACTGGTTCCACACACAGCTCTGAATTACTGACATTAATATAATCACATGAGAGCAAGGAAATTTCAGCATGCCCTTCCAAGCAGACAACATGGAACTTCTACTAGATTTTCAGTAACAAATCCCTAAACAAAACAAAAACAACAACAACAAAAAGAAATAAAATCTTTAAAATGCGCTTTGCCAATTTTCACTCTCTGACACCCTTAAGTCAAAAAAATAATCCAAGGCTTTTGAGCACCAATTATAATAAATCCTCAGCATGCAGTTAGGGGCAGGAAGCAACTTACTTCCTACTTCAGACAAGTATTACAGGAAAAAAAAACAAAACCAACATCCAAAAAAAGTCCTTCCCGGCATGCAAGAACAGGAGCACTGTGAACTCATTTCAAAGCAAACCTCCTAAAACCTGGATCTGCCGAGCTGAAACAAGTTCTGGCATCAATGCAGAAGTAACTTTTTTTTTCGTCACTTTCAAACCATGTTCTGCCACTCAGCTCAGTCCCTCTGAACAGCATCAGTTCTGAACTATGATCCCGTACTTTAGCTGAAAGGAAAGCTAAAATTACTGAGGCTTAGTTAGGTATATAACATAACTGCCTGAATTCTAAGCAGTAATTAAAAAAAGAAAGCGATTAAAACTAATGAACTTCAACTTTAAAATACATTGCTCCAAGATTTCACAACCTGTTACACTGTTCGAGGCATGCAGCTCTCAAATGCCTTTGGTTAATTATCTCAAAGTACTAGGACTCACTTGCAGATAAAGGGACACACACAAGAAATCATACCCAAATAGACTTTTTTGCTTACACCACACCTTAAACAAATGGTCTGGAGAAGAAGCAATGCAAAACTCTTGGCTACTACATGTTATCATGTAATGCACTAAAAATGCGTCAACATATGCTTTCCTTTAATGTCATCTGTACACATTTCACCTTATTTTGATTATTAGAACAGATTTAAACAGTTACCAAGTCACTAATATGACCACAAATATGCTATAATCCCATTAAAGTACATAAAACATCTCATTATTTTAAAATACATTAACTCTTCTTAAATGAAAAGGACCTGTGCATATTACAA